TCAATTATTGAATTTTTTGATTTTTTTTCGCCCGAATATAAAAATTGTCGAAATGTTTACCACGGTCTCTAATACCCTTCGGAAGTCCAATTGGGTGGGTGGAACATCCAATTTGCCTTTAAACGACCAATTTACCGGTTTACTATTTGCACCGATTTCATTAATTCAAGCCTACCACGAACATTTATGACAACAAATAATGATCACATTTGGGTTAAAACGACATTATATGTCCACAAGATGTATTTCCTTGAATTTCAAAACTTTTCGACACCCGGCTCCGAATACTACAAAAATTCTCAAAAAAACGTGGATAATAGTCTTTAATTTTTGAATTTTTCGACTTTTTTTTCGCTCGTTAATAAAAATTGCCGAAATGTTTACCATGGTCTATAATATCCTACGGGAGTCCAATTGGGTGGGTGGAACCATCCAATTTGTCTATAAACGACCAATTTACCGGTTTACAACTTGCACCAATATCATTAACTCAAACCTACCACGAACATTTATGACAACATATAATGATCATATATGGTTCTAAATGGCATTATATGAACCCGAGATGTATCCCCTAAAATCTAAAGGTTTTTCGACACCGGGTTCCAAAACCTCCAAAATTTCTCAAAAAACGTAGATATAGCCTTCAATTTCCGAATTTTTTTGACTTTTTTTACCACGAATAAAAAAATTGCCGAAATGTTTACCATGGTCCCTAATATCCTCCGGGTGTCCAATTGGATGGGTAGAACATCCAATTTTCCTTTAAACAACCAATTTACCGGTTTATAATTTGCACCGATTTCATTAATTCAAGCCTATCACGAACATTTATGACAACAAATAATGATCACATTTGTGTTAAAACGACATTATATGACCCCCAAATGTATTTCCTAGAATTTCAAAACTTTTCGACACCAGGCCCCGAATACTCTAAAAATTCTCAAAAAAAGTCGATAATAGCCTTCAATTTTTGAATTTTTTGACCTCTTTTTACGCTTTAAATAAAAATTGTCGAAATGTTTACCATGGTCTCTAATATCTTTCGGAAGTCCAATTAAGTGGGTGGAACCATCCAATTTGCCTTTAAACAACCAATTTACCGGTACACAACTTGCGCCAATTTCATTAGCTCAAGCTTACCACAAACATTTATGACAACATATAATGATCATATATGGTTCCAAACGACATTATATGAACCCGAGATGTATCCCCTAAAATCTAAAGGCTTTTCGACACCGGGTTCCAAAACCTCCAAAATTTCTCAAAAAAACGTAGATATTAGCTTTCAATTAGGAATTTTTGATTTTTTTCGCCCGGAAATAGAAATTGCCGAAATGTTTACCATAATCCCTAATACCCTTCGGGATTCCAATAGGATGGGTGGAACCATCTAATTTGCCTTTAAACGACCAATTTATGAGTTTACAACTTACACCAATTTCATTAATTCAAGCCTACCACAAACATTTATGACAACATATAAAAATTGCCGAAATGTTTAACATGGTCCCTAATACCCTCCGGGAGTCCAATTGGGTGGGTGGAACCATACAATTTGCATTTAAACGGCCAATTTACCGAATTACAACTCTCCCCGATTTCATTAAATTAAGCCTACCACGAACATTTATGACAACATATAATGATCATTTATGGTTCTAAAAGGCATTATATGACTCTAAGATGTATCCCCTAAATTCTTAAGGCTTTTAGACAACAGGCCCCGAAACTCCAAAATTTCTCAAAAAACATGGATATTAGACTACAATTTTGGAATTTTTTGACTTTTTTTCCCCAGATATAAAAAGTGTTGAAATGTTTATGACAACATATAATGATCATTTATGGTTCTAAAAGGCATTATACGACTCTGAGATGCATCCCCTAAATTCTAAAGGCTTTTCGACAACAGGCCCCGAAACCTCCAAAATTTCTCAAAAAGCGTGAATATTAGACTACAATTTTGAAATTTTTTGACTTTTTTTCGCCCGGATATAAAAAATGTCGAAATGTTTACTATGGTCCCTAATATCTTCCCGAAAGTCTGATTGGGTGGGTGGAACCATCGAATTGGCCTTTAAACGACAAATTTACCGGTTTACAATTTGTATTGATTTCATTAATTCAAGCCTACGACGAACATTTATGACAACAAATAATGATCATATATGGTTCCAAACGATATTATATAACTCGGAGATGTATTCCCTAGAATTTCAAAACTTTTTGACACCGGGCCCCTATTACTTCAAAAATTCTCAAAAAACGTGGATAATAGCCTTCAATTTTTGGATTTTTTTACTTCCTTTTCGCCTTTAAATAAAAATTGCCGAAATGTTTACCATGATCCTTTATACCCTCCGGGAATCCAATTGGCTGGATGGAACCATCCAATTTGCTTTTAAATGACCAATTTACCGGTTTACAACTTGCGCCGATTTCATTAACTCAAGCCTACCACGTACATTTATGACAACAAATAATGATCATATATGGTTTCAAACGACATTATATGACCCCGAGTTGTATTCCCTAGAATTTCAAGACTTTTAGACACCGGGCTCCGAAGACTCCAAAATTTCTCAAAAATTGTGAAGATTAACCTTCAATTTTTTTATTTTTTTGACTTTTTTTTGCCTAGAAATAAAAATTGTCGAAATGTTTACCATAGTCCCTAATACCCTCTGGAAATCCAATTGGGTAGGTGGAGCCATCCAATTTGCCTTTAAACGGCTAGTTTACTGATTTACAACTCTCACCGATTTCATTAATTCAAGCCTACAACGAACATTTATGACAACATATGATGATCATTTATGGTTCTAAACGACATTATATGACCTTAAGATGTATCTCCTAAATTCTCAAGGCTTTTAGACAAAAGGCCCCGAAACCTTCAATATTTCTCAAAAAACGTGGATATTAGCCAATTTTGGAATTTTTTGACTTTTTTTCGCCCGAATATAAAAATTGATGAAACGTCTAACCTGGTCTCTAATACCTTTCGGGAGTCCAATTGGGTGGGTGGAACCTTCTAATTTGCCTTTAAACGACCAATTTACCGGCTTACAACTTGCACCGATTTCATTAATTCAAGCCTACCACGAATATTTATGACAACAAATAATGATAATATATAGTGCAAACGACATTATATGACCCCAAGATGTATTCCCTAGAATTTAAAAACTTTTTGACACTGGGCCTCGAATACTCCAAAAATTCTCAAAAAACGTAGATAATAGCCTTCAATTTTTGAATTTCATTAACTCAAGCCTACCACCAACATTTATGACAACATATAATGATCATATATGGTTCCAAACGACATTATTAGAACCCGAGATGTATCCCCTAATATCTAAAGGCTTTACGACACCGGGTTCCAAAACCTCCAAAATTTTTCAAACAACATAGATATTAGTCTTCAATTTTGGAATTTTTTTACTTTTTTTTCGCCCGAATATAAAAATTGCCGAAGTTTTTACTATGGTCCCTAATACCCTCCAGGAGTCTAATTGGGTGGGTGGAACATCCAATTTGCCTTTAAACGACTAATTTACCGGTTTACAATTTGTACTAATTTCATTAAATCAAGTCTACCACGAACATTTATTACAACAAATAATGATCACATTTGTGTTAAAACGACATTATATGACCCCGAGATGTATTTCCTTGAATTTCAAATATTTTCAACACCAGGCCCCGAATACTCCAAAAATTCTCAAAAAACGTTGATCATAGCCTTCAATTTTTGAATTTTTTGACTTTTTTTCGCTTTAAATAAAAATTGCCGAATTGTTTACCATGGTCTCTAATACCATTCGGGACTCCAATTAAGTGGGTGTAACCATCCAATTTGCCTTTAAACGACCAATTTACCGGTTCACAACTTGCGCCAATTTCATTAACTCAAACCTACCACGAACATTTATGACAACATATAATGATCATTTATGGTTCTAGACGGCATTATATGACTCTAGATTTATCCCCTAAATTCTTAAGGCTTTTCGACAACAGGCCCCTAAACCTCTAAAATTTCTTAAAAAGCGTGGATATTAGGCTTCAATTTTGGAATTTTTTGACTTTTTTTTTCGCCCGAATATAAAAATTGCCGAAATATTTACCATGATCCCTAATACCTTCCGGGAGTCCAATTGGGTGGGTGGAACATCCAATTAGCCTTTAAACAACCAATTTACCGGTATACAACTTGCACCGATTTCATTAATTCAAGCTTACCACGAACATTTATGAGTTATGACAACAAAAAATGATCATATATGGTTCCAAACGACATTATATTACCCCGAAATGTATTCCCTAGAATTTCAAAACTTTTTGACACCGAGCCCCAATTACTCCAAAAATTCTCAAAAACGTAGATAATAGCCGCCAATTTTTGGATTTTTCGACTTTTTTTTATCCCTTAAATAAAAATTATCGAAATGTTTACCATGGTCTCTAATATCCACCATTAGTCCAAATGGGTGGGAAGAACCATCCAATTTGCTTTTAAACGGCCAATTTACCAGTTTACAACTTGCGCCAATTTCATTAACTCAAGCCTACCACAAACATTTATGACAACATATAATGATCATATATGGTTCCAAACGGCATTATACGAACCCGAGATGTATCCCCTAAAATCTTAAGGCTTTGCGACACACTACAAGAAAAACAATTTTGGGCAACGGATTAATAATTTATGGGCGACAAAATTAATAGTCGCCCAAACATCTAATTATGGACCACGAGGTAAATTTTTTCACCCAATGTACAATAACAGGTGACGACCAAGATTTGCGTTGCCCTTATTCATAAATGGGCCACGAAATTATTGATAGTTGCCCATTAATATGACTGGGCGACAAAATAACTTAACCCATTGCCCAAACCAATTAAATTGGGCTGAAAAGGATGTTTAATGTCGTTGCCCATCAATTAAAACTGGGCGGAAATAAAACCCGCTTAATAAAAATCCCAAATATACCAAAACTTCAAATATTAAACTCCGTACATCATCAATTTCATTACTTTAGTTCTTCCCTTTAACAAATATTAAAAGCCATTGAAGAGCCATAGTTTTTGCGTGTTTTTGGTCAATTGTGTTTCTTGATACAATATCTAAATCCAAGTTTTTCCTTTCTCAATATTACTTTCTAGTTTGTAATTTTGTCAAACCCTAATTTGTTTGTTAATTTCATAGGTGGTCCGGCGGTGGTTAAGGGAGGCGATAACAACGGCTTCAACGCATCCTCTTAACGGGTCAGTTATATAGTGGTAAATATCAATCGAATTTTGTTTTCTGAAAAAAAAAAAAAGATTTTGATGCAAAATAATTGTTCTTTTCTATATTAATCGAGTGACATTCGAGTTTTGTTTCAATAATGAAATGCAAAATTTGTTCTTGAAAATATTCTATGCTTCTAATTTTCCCAATTTAGATCAATGACGCTATTAGTTTTGGTTAATTTCCCTGATTTTGTTCGGCGTGATGTAAGAAGCTCAGATGACAGATTTGTCCCAAGAAATTGTAAGGATTCTTAGTTGGGTAAGATTAACCCAGAATCTGATTGAATTATAATTGCTCGTGTAATATCAATTATTAGATAGCATATTAGAGGATATTAGCTCGCTTAATATTCAGTGAGAATTATATTGTATTTAGGATGTTGAAGGACAATGATATTAGTTTAATTACTTTGATAAGTGGTTTTCTATCGGGTCTGATTTTTTATAATTTCAGTTGTTATTAGTTTGTTACAGATTTACAATATAGAACTTAACATTCTAATTATTACATGAGTGAATTGACTACATATAGAGAGATTCAATTATAAGAGAACATGTCTTATTTTAAAATATGGCAAACTAGAATCTTTATTTGAACTACCCATGTAATATGAGTGAGCAGAATCAATAGAGTATGATAAATATTGACTTTCATTCTGATTAACTCATGTGCAAATAAAAACCTGACTATAATGAACCACAAACTAATTAATTTTTTTGCTTAATTGTAAAGATCCTTCTATTACCCCTTTTGTTCAGGAGCTTAGGAGCTTCAAAGAAGATCTGAACATTAGTGTTTCTTGATCAAGCTACCAATATTCAGGTTGGTGTTTTTTTATTTGATTGCTTTTGATTGTATTATACTTCTATATATATATATATATATATATATATATATATATATATATATATATATATATATATATATATATACGGGTTGAATTTTGAGTATGTTACTTTGATGAGTACTAGCTTAATTATTATCAATTTTGTGCAGCTATATGATTTGAATAGTACCTGAACTTATTGCTTTAAGAGATATGTTTTGATGAAATTTATCCAGTAGTATGCCTTGGCCAAATTAATGTAAGAAAAATGATATAATAAAGAAGCTTCTTTGCATATGATATGTGTAATTGTGTATACACTTTTTGACTTAATTGGTGTGCTTAATATATGGATTAATAATTAGTTTATGTAGATGGATAGTTCTTATTAATTGATGTGCTTAGGATATGGATTAATAATTAGTTTGTGTGGATGGATAGTTCTTATTATTAACTTGTAGATGACTAATTTTTTTTGTTCCTTGTTTTTATAATTTATTATTAAAATTTTGACTACAAAAAGCTATCAGTATGTAAAATAGTAGGCCTAAAAGAAAATATAAAGAAGAATGGTACTTTGTATTTTAGATTTTTAGGATAACACAAAAATCCTAAGCATTAGCTATACTTTGATATTTTTTCGGAAGTGGAGGTGATTAAATTGGCATAATTTGATTGTTTTTAACCTATAAGCTTTTTTTTGATTTTTTAACTAACTATTTTTTTTTGCTATTATGCTGTTACGGACTATCTTTTATTTTAAATTTCAAGAATGAATAGAGATCGAACTTGGATGAACCACAATGGTATAAAGGATAGACGAAAACCAGAGTATAAAGCAGGAGTCGACGAGTTTTTAAAGTTTGCTTATAGGGAAAAAAATGATGACACCTTGTTGAAATGTCCTTGTTTAAACTGTAGATTGAGTTTGGCCCATGATCGAAAAAACTATGCAATTCCACTTACTAGTATATGGTATAGATATTAGTTATAACCCATGGGTGAGTCACGGAGAAAGTGGTGGGCTAGATGTTAATAATGAAGATGATAACACGATAGAGGCCTCAGATAATGACGATGATGGTGATATACCATTTGATGACATGGCTCCATTGGTTTTTGATGCCACAAATGCATGGAATAATAGTACAACTTATGAGGTTCATAGTGATGGTGGTAACGCCATGGAGTTTGGTTCTAGTAGTGGCAATGATGAAACTCCTAGTAAAGAGTTAATGACATTGCTCGAAGACATGGAGGCCGAATTATATCCAGGGTGCAAGACATTTAAGAGATTAGAGTTTCTTATCACATTACTACACATTAAAGTTAGCAACAAGTGGAGTGATAAGTCTTTTTCAATGTTATTGAATACATTACATAGGGCGTTTAATCATGATAAAAAATTTCCATCTAATTCTTATGAATCAAAAAAATATACAAAAGCATTAGGATTGGATTATGTAAAGATCGATGCATGTGTTAACCATTGCATTTTGTATCGCAAGGAGTTTGCAAATGAAGAAAAATGCCCTAAATGCTTGACTCCTAGATGGAAGGAAAACGTTGTGCAAGGTGGTGATGTGTCTTCTGGTGACGAAGACGAGGGTGTTGCTGAAAAGAAAACTCAAATTCCTCAATTAGTTTTACGTCATTTTCCTCTCATTCCAAGGTTGCAAAGGATGTTTGTCTCCTCGAAGTTAGCAAAGGACATGCGATGGCATAAGGATGAATGCTCAAAAGATCAAGGTAATGAGACACCCAGCTGATTCAGAAGCATGGAAGTCCTTGGATAAAATATATCCAGACTTTGCTGCTGATGCTCGTAACAAACGCTTGGGTTTGGCAAGTGATGGCTTTAATCCCGGTGCTAGCATGAGTAGCAGATATAACATTTGGCCAGTGATGTTAGTTCCATCTAACTTACCTCCTTGGATGTGCATGAAAAGTGATAACATGATATTATCTTTGCTAATTCCCGGTCCCAAATCTCTGGGAAATGATATAGATGTTTTTTTGCAACCTCTAATTGATGAACTAAAGGAATTGTGGGAGACAGGGGTAAAAACTTTTGATACTCATGCCAAAGAGACATTTAATATGCGAGCAGTGTTGTTGTGGACTATTAGTGACTTTCGCTAATCTCTCTGGTTGGAGTACTAAAGGAGAACGTGCATGCCCTAATTGTCATAAAGATACAAGATCAGCTTGGTTAAAACATGGGCGCAAATATTGTTATATGGATAACAGAGTGTTTTTAGATCACAAATAGAGACGTAATAGGAATTTGTTTGGTGGAAAAGTTGAACGGGGTCCTTCTCCTACTCCACTTACAGGACATGATGTTTTAGAGCAATTGAGTGGCTATTCAAATGTGGAATTTGGAAAAGGTGTTACCAGAAAACGAAAGAGAGGCGAACAATACATTGTGCATCAATGGAAAAAAATAAGTGTTTTCTTTCAATTGCCATATTGGAGTCATCTTTTAGTGCAACACAACTTAGATGTTATGCATATAGAAAAAAATGTTTGTGAAAGTATATTAGGCACACTACTTGATTTATCAGGGAAGAATAAAGACACCTTAAATGCGCGATTGGACTTAGATGATATGATGATGCATAGTCAATTACGTGCCAAGCATTTAGGAGATAAAAAATATAAAATCCCTCCAGCAACATACAACCTAACTTTGAATGAACAAAGAAAAATAGTCACCTTTTTGTCTAACTTAGCTTTTCCTGATGCATATGGTTCAAATATATCGCGGTGTACATCTTTACAAGATGGAAAGATCATGGGAATGAAAACTCATGACTTCCATGTTTTCATGCGAGATTTGCTTACCCCTGCCTTTAAGGGTGTCATAGATGAGAAAGTGTTGGAGCCTTTAAGGGAGCTCAGTTTATTTTTCAAGCAATTATGCTCAAAAACTTTGAAGGTTTCCGACTTAGAGCGAATGGAATCAAATATCGCAATCACCTTGTGCAAGTTAGAACGTATATTCGTTCCTACATTTTTTGATGTGATGATACATCTTCCAATTCACTTGGCCACTGAGGCTAGGATTGCCAGCCCAGTACATTATCGATGGATGTATCGTTTTGAAAGGTAAGGTTTTATTTATATAAAAAAATAGGTTTTATATATAAATAAATACTTATATAGATTATAACTAAGTTTTTTTTTAAAAAGGGCGATGAGGACATTTAAATCATATGTACGGAACAAAGCTCACCCTGAAGCTTCAATTGCTAATGGGTACATAAAAATGGAATGTCTAACATTTTGCTCAAGATATATTTCTAAGATTGAGACGCAATTTAACCGTCTAGATCGAAATGACGATATCGATCATCAACAACTCCATACCCTGTCCGTTTTTTCTAAAATGGGCAAGTCTTTAGGGAAGATAAATATAAAGCAACTGGCTTTTGATGAATGGAAAGAAGCTCACCTTTATGTTCTAAAAAATTGTGACGAAGCACAACCTTTCTTAAAGTTAGTGTTATGATGTGATTGATTTGAATTTTTTTTTTATTAAAAATATATACAATTAACTAACTATTAGTTCCTTAATTTCTTTGGTTAGTGAGTATCTAATTGATACGAGTCTTCCAAAGATTGACTTTTACAAGTGGTTTGAGAATAGGGTAAGTGAGCACACCCTTTTTTTTCCTATTATATATTTTTTTCTCTTTTCTTGATTGTTTTCTTTATTACTTATTGTGAAATATAGATTATTAAGCTGTGGAAAGATGGGGATGTAAGGATTACCGAAGAGTTATTTTGTTTAGCAAGAGGACCCATGAAACGTGTTGTGACTTATGATGGATATATCATTAATGGATTTAGATTTCACACCAAAAAACGGCAAAGAAATCGAAAAACTCAATATAGTGGTGTGGTGGTTAGAGGCGATGAGGAAAGTGGAGAAAAGAATTTTTATGGGATTTTAGAGGAGGTTATTGTGTTAGAGTATGGTGCCTTAAAAAATCGAACAAGTCCCAAAGTTGTTTTGTTTAAGTGTAAGTGGTTTGACGTGTTTAGTGACGGGAAAGGGATTAAAAAAGACAATTTAGAAGCAGTGCTTATCAATGTTACTCGGAGGTTAAGAACCAATGAGTCATTCGCTTTAGCTTCTCAAATTGAACAAGTTTTCTATGTGACTGCTCATAATGATACAGATTGGAGATATGTAATTAAGGCAAATCCACGAAACTTCTTTGATTTCCCTAATAATGAAGATACTCATGAAAGCGAATCATTATGGGATCATGTGGCTCCACCGGTTACTAACTATGAAAATGAAAATGATGAAGACATTAATATAGTTAGGGATGATGTTGAAAATGAAGTGGTGTACGCTAATATCAACCAAGGAGATGATTTCATTAATGAGGATGAAGAGGAAGAGGAGGAAGAAGAAGAAGAAGAGGAGGAAGAATTGTCTAATATGGAATCTACATTGCAGGCTCTTAACGATGACCTCGAAGACAATGATGATGACAGTGATAGTTCTAGTGAATAACGTACTTAGCATATGAAAGAGTCATTTATTTATATATTTGAAACTAGTTAAATAATTAAATATGCTCAAAGCTTTTGCTTTAGTTATAATGTCTATAACCTCTTGATTTAACTAATTTTCTGTTTTTGTTTATGTATTTGTGCAGAGTAAGTAGTAGCTAACTGTAACTTTTCTAATTGTTGCTTTAATAATTTAGATTATGTTTTAGTTCACTTATGCTAATGGATGATAAAAGATTTAAGCAATGAGCTTGGTGATTCTAAATAGTATATATTGAATTCGATATAGGTGAAGAAGTGGCTAATTAAGGAGTTTGTTTTAGTTAACTAACTGGTTGGTTTTTGCAAGATATAAAGGGGCTGGATCAACAGTAGGTAATATGTGTTTTCTCCTCAATTCTAGCTTAACATGTAGGAATTAAAATGCTCTTTCAGTGAGTTAACATGAATATTGCTTGTTTATTGGCCAAATTTTTTATTTTTGCAAGGCAGTATTCATTAACTCACATAATAGTATGCATATAGACAAGTATAAACCATGTTTCCTAACAACTTTTTTCATGATTTGTGCTTGTTATCTTTGAGAAAATGATCTCTACAATGTTACCAGTTAGTTTCATGCTCATAAGTCACTTCCTTTGAACTACATTTTATGTTGCTCTGAATGGAGAACCATCTCATTACATGTTGCTCATAATTTATTTAATTATTGATTTTTTTATAGGAAAATGTCAATAATTCCAACTTCATCAGAACAAGATCAACAAGAAAATGAGATTCAACAACCACCATCAAGGTTGACTTATCGTGAAAAGCGAAGGATTGACAAAGCTGAGCTTCGACAAAAATTCCCTGATCGTAAGAGGCGTGGCCCTACTAGGGGTTTAAAATATGCTTCCAAAAGAGCAAGAAATCCAGAAGAAAAGATTACGTTAACTTTTATGGATGAGCTTCGACGTGTGGTTGGTGAAAAGGCAAATGAGTTCATATGTGATTGTAGCAATTGGGTGGAAGAGTTTTGTCCTTTGAATGCATTGTATGCCTATTACACTTGATAAAATTACCTTTTATCATTTCCATTTCTTAATGTGTATGTGGATGATTATGATTTTAATATTTTCTTTTTGTCACAGGAATTAGGCTAAAATGGATCCTGATGCGAAGAAAAGTTTATATGACAAGATTTTGGTGAGTCAAAGTATATATAATTCAATTATAAAAGTTATATATAGTTAGATAATTAGCTTTTTTTTTAAAAGCAAGTCGGGAATATTATTAATCAAACCAAATCAACATCCGCCAAGGCTAATATTCCTTGGGGAAAAGAGTCAAGAAAAACAAACTCCGACCCACTAGGGGGAGGGATCATAGCAGCATAATGTGCAACAACATTACCTTATGTTGATCTGCCAACCTTCTGTTGCTTAACAGCAGTAATAACAGCACTTGCATCCCCTTCCAACTCGACTTTAGTAAGGGATAGAGACTTAGCTAATAGCAGCCCCATCCTAGCAGCAAGGGCCTCGGCCAGCTTGACAGAAAAATCACCTTGATATCTCTTCACTGCAACAGCAATCAAACGCCCCCTATCATCACGTATAACAGCACCAAGGCCCACCCCGTACCCTATAATAGCTGCATCAGTGTTTACCTTCAAGCAACCTTCAGGTGGGCGAAGCCAGCTGCTTCGGGAAGTCAGTCCCCCTGCCTGACCACACCCCACAGCCTTGTTGTACTTCCTGTAGATTAGCTTAATAATGATATGTTCTGTCAGATTTATTTTTATTAATAATGATATGTTCTGTCAGATTTATTTTTATTTTTAACTTGATGATTTACTAGGCAAAATACAATTTACCTGAAAAGATTGGTGGTGCGGACGCGACTGATGCATTGAGCTTTCAATGTTCTATATTATATAGGCATTGGAGGTTTAGACTCAAAGAAAAATACTATAGAGGCAAAACAAAGGCAGAGGCTAGAGACAATAGACCTTCAACTATTGATCCGATACAGTGGGATTGGTTGGTTTATGAGTATTGGAGTTCCCCAAAACAAGAGGTAATGTGCTTCCTTTGTTTAATTTATTGCTAATCTGCTAAATATTTTTGCAATTATACTACATTAACTTGCCGGCTCAACTTGTAGGCCATTAGCAAAGTGAACACAGCAAATAAACTGAAGTTAACTGAAACACCGGCTAATGGTGCAAAGTCCACAGCAAGAATTTTCTATGATATGGTGTGTAGTTTTGGCCTTTTACTACAAAAAGTAAGACATTATTTATTGTAAATTCTATGACATGGTGTGTATTTTTTTCATACGTAGATTATCGAGCCACAAATTGTTGCCAATCAAGTCGAAGGGTCATCTGAACATGCTGAAGTGCAACAAGATCCCATCTATGTGAGATTATATGAGAAGACAAAAAAGTATGTGAGATTACAAGGAAATTGCCCAGGAATAATACTGTTGTTCTGTCTTTCATGTTACTATTTAAATAGTTATGCCTACATTAGCCTTATCTCATACTTAATATGCATAATTTTTTGGGCTGATTTCATTGAATAGGCATATAAAAAAGGATGGAAGTACTATTTGGGAACCAAATGCTGAAAAGAACTATGAAGAACTCAAAAGGCTTCACGAAACTGAAATCACAGAACATGGTGAGGACACACTGAGTGTTAAAGATGCTTATATGAAGGTATTAAAACCTAAATCTGGATATGTGAGAGGACTTGGTCCTGGAGCTCGACCACCTACAAAAGTTAGAATCCAAGGAGATGATATGGATAGGGTTCAACTCTCTACTCAAGTTCACACACTAAGTGCGTCAAATGAAGAGCTCAGAGAATCTAATGAACAACTTAAAGCATCAAATGAGGAGCTCAAAGCATCAAATGAGGAGCTCAAAGCAGAATTTTCAAGAATGAACAAGGAAGCCATTGAACGTGAAAATAAACTAAGAGAAGATATGCTAAAAATGTTTGAGGAAATGAGGTATGCAATTTTTTCACAAATGATTTAATTTATTTAGGCCAATGAGTTATAAAGTTAGATCATAATGTACTGTGATCAAATTTAGGTTGCATTGTCTTCCGTATAGGAAACTTAACTGTTTCTGGTTTATATGTACTGTGATCAAATTTGGGTTGCTGCCTCAACGCTGCTCGATGTTGCTGCAATGCTTCTGCAACGATGTGGGGATGCCGCAACACAGCTGTCTGTGGAAGGAACGCAATGCAGCAGTTGTTGCTGTGGTGCTGCCGCAACGCTGCTGTTGCAGCTGCAGTGCTGCCGCAACGCTGCTGTTGCTGCTGCAGTGCTGCCGCAACGCTGCTGTTGCTGCTGCACTGCTGCCGCAACGCTGCTGTTGCTGCTGCACTGCTGCCACAACTCTGCTGCAATAGTTTTAGGAGCTTTTTCCACGTGCAGCAGTGTATTCACTAAGCTTGATGTGTGTATATCTGATATGTAGATGATTTACATTGCAAGTGTAGGAAGCATACATTATTATTAATGTCAAATTTCTCTAGTTGACAAAGAACAAACATGCATTACATATCAAACCATTTAGCATTCATTAGAAAAAAAAATGCTAATTATGACTTGATACATGGAGAGGTGATTGCTCCTAAATTTGACAAATTTCACAATTGTGAGTTTATATTATTTCAAAATGCATTTATCAAGATTTTTGTAAAGATATGTAAAAATATGACCTCCCTTTAATGTGCTGAAAGAAGCAATATTTTGTAGCTTTAATTCTATTTTATTGTATCTTTTTAAATCGTGTATCTAATTTTGGAATATTGTTTTACAGGAACAAATGATCGTGATATTTTCATGACAAGCCAAGGAATAAGATGTATATTTTGAATATATTTTCTCTTATTACAGGTAGTAATTTCTAGGGATTGATAAATTTAACTTAGTGCGATCATAGTACTTGTTTCTTAGTAGAAAATTTTAAATTTAGTTGTAATTTTGATTACCTTCGGACCATCAGTTGAACTTGGAGAAAGTCGTAGTACTTTTTGATGATCTTTCAGTTTTTTATGAACGATGAAATGCAATTGTATTGAAATTGTGAGCTATTATGAACTATTGTCCAATGAATACTATATTGATATATATTATATGAAAGAGTGCAGGAGAACGGTAAAAAATTAGTAAGACAACAACAATAAAGTCATTGCCCAATATTGTAATTGGGAAACAACATAGTCACACATAACTTGTTGCCCATGCAATGATTTGGGCAACAACATAATCAAACATAAATCGTTGCCCATGCAATGATTTGGGATAAAATCCAACGAATATTCAGATTTAAAATTGGCGCTGTATTTTAAAATTGGGCAACAGATATAATAAGTCGTTGCACAAATTAGTTTGGGCGACGACATAATTGTTGCCCATATCTATGTATGCCATGTCACAATTTAACGTTTGGGCGACGAAATACTGTAGTTGTTGCCCAAAAAGCAATAACAAAGGCAACGACAAGCAAGATTCGTAGCACAAAGGTATAACTTCGGCAACAACATAATCTGACGCCCATGCCCTACTTTGTGCAACTAAATGAAAGCACGTCGCCCAAACATGAATGGGCGTCGACCCTATGGCGACGAGCCCACGACGAGTTGAAGTTCGTTGCCCAAACTAATGGGCGACGAATAACCAAGTTAGGGCGACGATAATTTTTGTTGCCCAAAATTGTTTTTCTTGTAGTGACACCAGGTTCCGAAACCTCCAAAATTTCTCAAAAAACATAGATATTACCCTTTAATTTTGGAATGTTTTCACTTCTTTTCGCCCGAATATAAAAATTGACGAAATGTTTACCATTGTCTTTAATACCCTCCAGGAGTCCAATTGGGTGGGTGGAACATCCAATTTGCCTTTAAACGACCAATTTACCAATTACAACTTGCACCGATTTCATTAATTCAAACCTACCACAGACATTTATGAAAACAAATAATGATCATATTTGGGTTAAAACGACATTATATGACACCGAGATGTATTTCCTAAAATTTCAAAACTTTTCGACACTGGGCCCCGAATACTCCAAAAATTCTCAAAAAACGTGGATGAGCCTTCGATTTTTGAATTTTTTGACTTTTTTTCGCTTTAAATAAAAATTGTCGAAATGTTTACCATGGTCCCTAATACCCTCCGAGAGTTTAATTGGGTGGGTGAAACCATCCAATTTGCCTTTAAAGTTTAAACGACCAATTTATCGGTTTACAACTTACTTGCACCAATTTCATTAACTCAAGCCTACCACGAACATCTATGACAACATTTAATGATCAGATATGGTTCTAAACGGCATTATATGACCCCCAAATGTATTCCCTAAGATCTCAAGATTTTGCGTCACCGAGCCCTGAAATCTCCAAAATATCTCAAAAAGCGTGGACATTAGCCTTTTATTTTGGAAATTTTTTGACTTTTTTTCGCCCGCAATAAAAATTGTCGAAATGTTTTTCATGGTCCCTAATACCCTCCGGGAGTCCAATTGGGTGGGTGAAACCATCCAATTTGCCTTTAAACGGCCAATTTACTTGTTTACAACTTGCACCGATTTACCGATTTACAACGGCCAATTTAATTAACTTGCACCGAACCCGATTTGAACCGAAATTGACCCAAATCTGTTTCAACCCGTCAAAACCCGAATTTAACCCGAATTGTTACTAACCTGACCTGAATTCAACCCGACCCGTTCCTAACCCGACCCGAAATTAACCCAACATGTTACAAATTCGACCCGAAATCAACCCGACTTGTTATTAACCTGATCCAAATTCAACCCGACTTGTTATTGACCCGACCTGAATTCAACCCTAATTCGAAATCAACACGACTTGTTATTGACCCAACCTAAATTCAACCCTAATTGTTCCCGATTTCAAATCACCTTAAATGCAATTTATACCACCTTATTATTGTTGATAAAAGCATTTTGTCTAGAGAGACCAAGTTGGTCCACGCAGCAAAAGAAAGGAGCATCATCCTCAAATTTAAGATTTAAATATAGTATATAATTGTTGTATGGTCAAAGGAGATAATTATCTTCTTAAATTATAGTCTATAGTTCCCTAATATATTGCCATACGTATTATAGTCAAAGGAGATATTTAGCTTGATAAAAATGATAATTATTTATTTATAGTTAGTTGAACCCGAATATGACCTATTGTAACCTGCAAATTATCGACTTGAACATAACCCGACTTGAATCCGAGAATGACCCGACTTGGAAATGACCCAACCTTATTATAACCCGCAAATTATTGACTTGAACCGAACCCGACTTGAACCCGAGAATGACCCGACTTGAAAATGACCCGACCTGATTATAATCCGTAAATTATTGACTTGAATCGAACCCGACTTAAACCCGAGAATGACCCGACCTGATTCTAAATCGCAAATTATTGACTTGATTTGAACCCGACTCGAACACGAGAATTACCCTAACCCGTTTTAACGCGTGAAAACCCAAATTAAACCCGACCTATTATTCACCCGACTCGAATGTAACCCGACCTGTTATTAACCCGACCTAAACTCGACCCAAACCCGATAAGAAGTATGACCCGACGTGACCCGACTCAAGCATGACTTAACCCAAACCCGACCCGCATAGGTTATTGAATTAATCCGAATTGACCTGACCCGAGTTGACCCGACCCAACCCTGTCCCGTTTACCTGAATTGACAGCTTTAGTCATTACCTAATCTACAATCTACATACTGGTGAATGGCTATTGCAATCTTTTTCCCTTTATTTAGTAGGATAAGATTTTTTTTTTCTGAAAATCCCTAGAAGAGAACCAGATGGCCCCCGAACTAGTTCAATAAAATTTCCTTTAGATGCTAGTTACAAGACAAACAATAAATCTCCATACCTGGTAGATATAGCTTTCAACGAAAGAAAGCACAGGTAAATATTTGAATATGGATTCTGGCCTGTTCAGATCCATCCCATGAAACATAAAGTAAGATCTACACTGCCAAAAAAAAAAAAATTAAGAATGTTACCATCATAGAGTTTGACAGACTGACAAGGTCTTCTTTTACTAGATAAAATAAACAACAAGAACATCCACCAGCATTAATAGACAAGAATCACTTTTTAGTACAAACAACCTACATAAATTAACCAGGCTAGTAAAGTTTAACTAAAATATGGATGCAAGTCTAGGAATAAGAAGCTTTTCTGAAGATTTTGCATGTTTCTCATATAAATTGGAATGTACTAGTGCCCATAGCTATGTTGACGTTGGATATCCAATAGCTACTGAGGATGAAATGAAAAACCGTGTCAAATAGCATGCAGAGCAGCATGATAAGTATAGTAACCTCAAGACAATGGTAAGTAGGGATCATCAAAATACATATTAAACTATCTAAACAGTTAAACAACATCCACAATTCCAATTAACAATCTCAACCATTGCTGAGTCGCAATGTGATCAAGTAACATGCTTTTGAGGAATATAGAATCACTCACAAAGTCTTCAAGTGTGGAATTAGCTCGTTGCATAGCATCCAACCCAATTAAAGCCATGTCTTCACAGACTGCATTCGATCCTGAACCACGGCTGCCATCACCAATATCCTCCTTAACCAAGTCAACAGACAGTGGATCACCCAAACCACCCGTCTGTTCACCTGCAATAACCACGAGGTACAACTTAACCATAAACACTCTCCAACTACAATGGTGGGTATTGGGTAAAACCCAAAAGAGTCTTCTCAACAAACTAAAAATCCAAGGTTTTGATTATTCTCACCAGGCAAAACTACCAATGCATTCTCAAGAAATGACGGCGAAATCTACGCAATAAATGTAGAATTACAACCAAGAAAACAATACGTATCACAAATTAGAAACGAATAAATGCATAATTAACAGATTAAACATAGATTGATCACCTTAGGTAAATGTTGGGAAATTAAGCTACATTTGTCGTCAATACTCAGTTTTCCACTGGGTTCAATCTAAATCATAAAAAAGACATGGAATTTCACGAATTATTGTTCATTAGTATTGCAAATTAAGAAAGTAGATTGCAAAAAAATTAAATAAATAAATAAAGTACTTGGTACGAAAGGGAGAGTGAATTACCAGAAAGAGGAGAAATTGAGCGAGAAAACGGTGGGAATCAGAGAGAGAAGAAGTGGGTGTTGGAGAGATGAAGTGTTGGGAATCCATGAATATCAGCATCCTCTGTATTTCTTCCAGTTTCTTCAGTCCCTCCATTCTCTGCTGCTTGTTTGGAATAAAGTACGGAGTAGAAAGTTAAAGTTAATCAAGGGTGAAAGATTGAACACAGGTGATTTTTGCTTTTATATCAACCCTAGTTTATGCAAAATTGCCCCCCAACAATTTTTGCAATGACATTAAACGGACTTCAATCCTAGATTCCTAGCCTCCTAGGTCATGGACACTATTTTGAAGAGTACCTCGAAACACAAAAACTAATTGCTTTGATTTGTTTGGTTCATTTTATTTTAACTTAAATAAAATACGAGTAGCTATTTTTTTTAAAAAAAAAATACGAATACTACTTTTTAATAAAAAATACAAACAACTAAGGAAATAATCAAAAACAATAAACAAAATAGAGAAGAGAAGGCAAGATTGTAAAAATTTGCTCATTGATTGATGATGAAAGACTTCAGTATAAGTAGTGCTCTTAAATCTTCAGTAACCAAGATCTACCATTGAAGATCTCTCACTTTCTCACTCTAAAACCCTAATTATAGAGGTTAATCCTCCCTAAACCCTAAAAATTAGAGAGAGATAGCTAAAACTAATAAAAAGAGTTCAAACAAATAAAATGAACTAAACTGCTAAACATCTTAGTGATGGGTTGTCCCTAATCACATTAATTTTTTATAGTTCTTTCTTATTCACATCTACTAAAACACAATTATACAGCATTGTAAATTTTCACTCAAATAGTTGTAACTCAACACTCAAATATGTGAATAAGAAATTGTTCAGCTTTAGCTTCTTCTGGTATAATGAGCTACGGCGCTTCCAAAGAGGTAGTGGTAGACTCCCTAGAGTTTGGATCACATATTAATTATTGTTTTTGAAAGAAAAACATATTAATTTCATAAGTATGTCATCTTGTAAATCTAAACTTCTAAACTACAAGTAATAAACTTTAAGGATTAATGCTAGCAGAAAATAAGTTTGCACCATGGAACCTCTTACTCACAAGCTCGAAGAAAGGATTTATTCAACAAAGATATCTCAACAAAACAATTTGCTTACATTATTCCTTTTATTCGGTACAATGAAATTGAGTCGGACTCTACAGAGAACTTAATATTGGTCACAACAGTATACAGTCAGCATTACCCTCACAATAATGCCTCAAATGGTACATTACAAATGGGTGGAAAATATAGGCAGCAACCACCAACGACTAGTGAAGTGTGCGAGGTTTCCACTTAATTTCAGCCCTAATTCCTTCCAAACAATAGCCCTGAATGATTGTGTCACGACAAAAATGTTCAAGGATTTGAGATTGCTTTCACTTGCTTAGTCCATCCTAAGACAGCCTGACAATAATTAGATGTTAACGACAAGAATTCTCGACTTCATGATCCTGATGCTCTGTCATTACTTGCCCCTGTTTGCACTGCTGTTGCCTGGATTTGTTGCCCATCCACTTGTTTCAAACCATTATCTGGAACTGTTTTATTCACACTCGTCTGACTTGGTGATTGTTTGGTTTCGAATAACTTTCCACTCTTTGCAATTGCAAGAATCAACTCTAGCTGTTTTTGCTGCTGGTCCTGCACACACGTTAAAACTTTGGTCAGGACATTATCAAAAATTGCATGACAAATAGAGAGATCCATATTACTGATATCTGACGACCCCAACAACTATGAAATTTGAAGGAATGGAGGGAGCAGGGGCAGCGATTTACCCAATGTGATCCAAACGGTAAACCTTGTATACAGCAGCAAAAGTCTAACAGAATAAATAGATATCACTAGGAAGCTAAAACATCGAGTGCATGCAGTTAAGGACCTTTACAAGCTTCTAATTCTATGTAACAGTTATCAACCCAGTAAAGGCGACTCAAATTAACTGAAAACGTTAGTATGTTCTTACCTGCATTGCAAGCAAAACTTTTTGAACTTCGCCAAGCTCCTTTTCTAGGATGCTTTCTTGAACTGCTAAAGCACGAGTGGCTTCGGAATTCTTCTGAGTCAGAGCTGCAGTCTTTGAACAGACACGACGTTAAAATCACAGTACCAAGAGACAAAGAAGAGACAAAGATGTGAGATAGAACGGCTGACACGCATATAAACAGATTAAACCTTTTTTTTAAAGGGAACAGATTACTATATGTAATACTTTTCATAATTCTATACAGCTTCAACCAACTAAATTTGCTTTCAGTCTTAATCTATACAGGATGAATTTCCAGCCAAAGAGCAGGTCCATGGTTTGAGCTCAGGCCCCTCTTCCCTCGTGGTTGAGAGATGTTAGGGGTATCAAACTACTTTGACCTTTTTTTTTCTTTTTTTGAGATGTGCTCATCGGACCTTAGTCATAACTAGGTTGAGGCAGCCACGCCAAACAGCCCAGTCCAAGCCCAAGATGGGCAGCTTTAGGTGGGGCTATACCCACACAGACACGGACACACACACTAAAATTTGTTTGTTAGTTTCTCAAGTGAATTAAAACAACTGAACACAAAAGCTGACAACAATTACAAGATAAAAATAAAACGCAAAAATAGGAAAACCAATGGCACAAAGCATTTCCTAGTTGCAAATAAGTTTCATAGGCAAATTTCACAGAATCGAGGATGGCTATATGAATCTTCCATGGCTCCATCCATCCTTCAAATGAAATTATGGAAAGAATACAATCTCCAAACTGTGTGTAACTATGTTGTTTCCTTCTTTCTGTGGGAGATTATAAGTTTATAACCGCCTGTTCACCTCAGGAACTCGCGTATCTGGTTCTGTCATTATCTTCAACAACTAAGCACCCATTTTCCATTTTTTTTGTTCTAACAGCCTGATACCATTATTTTCCACTATTTAGACTCTACCCTGGAAGAGAAGTTCTACCACAGAACCACCACCACTCGGCTTAACACACAAAGCTGCTATGAGATACAATTGCATCCCCACAACCTGATAGGAACCTTAATCTTTATAACAAAAAATGCAGACGAGGGAAGGTAGGGCAAAAAAGAAAAAAAATGGTAATCTAGTCCTGGTTTCTGATTTAAGCACACCACCCAAAAATTCGCACTTCTTCTAGTGGTTCTATTGAGGTTTGATCATACTCTACATAGAATTTAGACATGATGAACAATGTAACACTAGATTCAGCATGCCCATTCCCTGTCTTCCTACCCCAAGTTGCATACAGTTCACTCGATTTCATAAAATATGAATCAAATAACAATTGAATTGCCAATAAAATTTTGTGACCTGTATAATATATGTTGCATCTATTAATATAGCGACATAACAAGATCTGTAATGTCACTTAGGAGTTTGGACAGTCATAACTATGTCCTGGTATCCTCAATTTAAGAGCTTTTCTTATCAAAATACCATGTCCAAGTCAAAGTGTATTGAGCAAACAAAAATGGAAGAAAGGTTTTAGAACGCACAATAACTAACATTGCAAAACCTCCAACATATATAGGTATATAAAAGCCTGGGCAACAAGCAGCTGAGAGCCTGAGATATCCACCAATGAAACAAAATCATCCTCACAATTCTCACATATTGATAAATTTTGGCCGATGTTTGGGTTGACCAAGGAAGCACTTTTGGGACCTGTACTTTCCCCATTTCAAATGAAGCTCATAAATGGTTAGGACCAGAGGTTTTCTCGTTTCCAAAACCCGATCCATTTCCATGCTACATAGGTTTTAATCTCTATTTTGGAGGGTTTAGTAAGCTTTCACCAAGCACAATACTCTCTTATACAATGCATCAAAGACCTTGAGTCTCAGCAAAAATCTAAAGTAAATCCCAACACACTGAATGCATATGATTAGGATCTAATTGAAATGCCCAAACAATTTGTAAGCAATCAATCATCACTAAGGATAATAGCAAATAATTCTTATTGAATACATATGTAAATCAAATCAATCAACTTATTAAATAGGCAAATTGAATCAATTACTCCTAACCAAAAAGATGTTAAAGGCTGATTACCTCAGAAATGGGATCCTTCAAGGATTTCCTAGTGACCCGAAACCGAACCCCTAATTTTTCAAGCTGCCTAGATAGCATCCTAATGATGGAAGTAGCACTCCTCATACTTTCCTCCAATTTCTCAATCCTGTCAATCACATTTCCAGTTTCGGAACCCGGTCTCGAGTTCATGGGCGATCCACACACCCGCTTCCATTGCCGCCTCCGGATCACGGAACCAACAGCTACAGCCACAGCTAGAAGCCACACCAAAAGTCTGCTTCCCACCGCCAGTAACCCAGAAGTATGCTGCTTGTAAAAAACCCGATAACCCCAACATCCCACTGAAATTAATACTGCAGAAATTACGCAAATCGATTCCAAGAAAGACAGAAAACCATCCAAATTAAACAATTGAATCGAATTATCTTCTTCCTGAAAAGCATTAATGGAAGAATCATGAACTTTGATGAGAGAAAGACGATTTCGCAACAAGGATAAGTTTTTATGAAATGGGTAGTCGTTATTTTGCAAGGATTGATTATGGAAGAGAGAGAATTTGAGGGTTTTGGTGGAATTGAGGTGGGTGGTGTTCTTGGGGGAGTAGAATTTTACTCGATAAGTGGCATTGGATAAGGGATTTTGAAAAATTAGTGACATTTTTTACACTGATTTTCAGTTGATTTGTGAATTTTGTTAGGGTTTAATTGAAGATTGAGATTTTTTATTTTCAGGGTTTAATCTTTGTTAGGGTTAGTTGGGGTTCTGGTAGTAGGATTTAGGCGGAGAAGTTGAAGTTCATTCGGTTGAGGAAGAAGAAGACAGGAGGCTCTGCCCAATTACCATTGTGTTTTTTGCAATTGTGTTTTTATTTTTATTACAGTACTCGTGATTTTGCAAATGTCAACTCATTCGATGTACTTATTCGATTTACTTGGTTTATTGTCTGGAATTTACTTATTGGAAAATCTTATAGGGCTTTCAGTTCACCTTATTTTTGTGGATCTAGTATTATCTAATCAAATTTTGACCTTATATATAGAGCAAAATCATTAGTTATGAGGTGAAATTTGTCTGCGGCAGTTTCTAAACTTGTAGTTTTCCATTGTTTAACCAAAAACATTTGAGAAACAATAGTGTTTAATTACATAAATTTAAAGCTTTAAAAAAAAAAAAAAAAAAAAAAAAAAAAAAAAAAAAAAAGAGAGAGAGAGAGTATAAATAGTTATACTACATGCATTTTATGTGGGTGTATATTGCAAAGCTAGATGAAAGGTAGCTGAATTTTATTACTTAACACAAGTAGTTACTTTTATTACCTCATAGCCTCATTGTATGATGTACTGGGGTTAGCTAAAAATGGTTGTCTAATACAAAATTAGTAAATTATTAATACAAAATAATGATTAAAGGATCCCAAAACACAATGTATGGAGAGCAATATAAATGCATCAATACCTTTTTGTACTTGAATGTTGCCTTATATGTAGTATTTTTTTTTTTTAAAGGTAAGAAGAAAACACATTAGGAAACCCTCTTCACGAGGGGAATCCTTAATGAGTCAGTTTGAAGTATGGAAGCTAAATTAGAGCTAGTACAATCATTAATTAACATAAAATCTGTTACTAGGTGGCCTACATTAGCTATCTAATCTGCTGCTCAGTTTGTCTCTCTATACACATGTCTGATGCTCCAATTGTCGAATTTTGTCAAAAGAATGCCAGAGTCTTCAATGATGTTTTGGATTTGCCAAGGGGTGGACCACTTACCTATTATTGCATTGACAATAAGTAAGTTGCCACCTTCAATTTTGATGTTTTTGAGACCCTGATGAAGTGCTAACATAATGCCTTTGTGAAGAGAAGTTGCCTCTATGACGAATGCCTTTGTGTTTTCTAGATTGAAGGTTGCTGTCGAAACTAGGGCACCTTTGAAATCCCTAATGATGACGCATGCTGTTGCTGACTTGTTTCGGACCGACCCATCAAAATTAAGTTTGAATGCCTAATATGTAGTAATAGATACTACATATATTGGAACATATGTGATATGTGTATAGTTATTTAGTTCGTACCAAAACAAAGTTTGGCGAAGAACTCACGCACTTATCTTGTTACCTTGAGGCTACAAGTTTAAGCCCCACCAATTACATTTGCTTGAGAGTAGGGGGTTTCCCTTACCTTCAGCCCTCACTTTCATTTGAGGCATATTTATGAATATCGAATGCGTATAAATAAGAGGTGTCAAAAGTACACCCGACCCAATCAGATCCGAAACCAACTTGTAAAATATCCGGTTCATATTTGTACTTGTATGGACATAATAGTTTAGTATGACTAAACTTTAAAAATTGACTCGATTCGAACTCATCAGACTCAATCTAATCATTCGAATTGACACCTTTAATATAGATAAATCATCCAAACGCATAAAACGTATTCTTACACCCGAGTTTAAAATAGACGTCCCGGGTCATACTTTGTCAAACAGCCCAGTGACACTTGAAAGTACCAAGCCCATGATTTCAACTGAAATAGTCGTAGTTATAAAGAGTAAAGGATTCTTTATAACACCTGTAATGTCGTGAGGCAAATAAATTCCGCAATTCAACCCATCCATTCATTCATCAACTTCTCTTCCAAACTTAAGCGACACTTTGACGAGCTGAGGAGAGAGAAAGTAAAAGCTAGAGAGAGAAAACCATGGATGAAGAAGAGCATGAGGTCTACGGAGGTGACATTCCTGTCGAAGGAGATTTGGAGGGAGACTTGGATGCTACCAACGCCGACGTCGACATGTCTACCGGCGACGATGACGCCGCCGTCAAGGTTTTCTTTTCTTTTATTTTTATCCTTTATTGTTTCAATTTTCTCTGTAATTTGTTCTTATTCAAGATTTCTGGTGATTTCTGTTAATTTTTGTTGATCAATTTGTGTTTGGATTATTGAGTGTTTACGGAAACCCTAGGATTGGAAATCGATTGATGTTTGATGTTGTGTTTTAGGAGCTTGATGAGATGAAGAAGAGATTGAAGGAGATGGAGGAGGAAGCTGCTGCACTTCGTGAGATGCAAGCTAAAGTCGAGAAGGAGATGGGTTCTGCTCAAGGTTTGGATTTATCACTTGATTTTTTTTTTCTTTGTTTATAGGTTTTAATTTACGTGCAGCTTTTAGAGTTTTGTATTGGAATTAATTATTACACTGTGTGATTGTTTGTTGAGGATAACATTGATTTGTTGTCTAGTTTTTCAGGAAATATGTTTCTTCCTAAGTCTAGTCATATTATTCATTATTTGATTGACTAATTTGTGATTGGAACGATCAACTTATTTTAACTTTAAATATGAATGGAAATACTGCGTTCTAAATGAATGAATACGCTGAATTTCGTGTCTGACAATATTTACCTTGTGGATTTAGAGTGTGCATATAAGGTCCGTCTTTGTTGGATGCAATACCGTCACCTTTATAGCTTTACTAGTATAATATTTCAAAATTTAAAATTTGGAACACTTAGAAGGATACCATACCTTATCTGTAAATCGATAATGTTAGTGAACTTAGTGTAAGTGTAACACTCTCTTTTTAAGGAAGTTGCTATTTGGTGGTTAGCTCAGTTTTGAACTTATCTTCCCCTCCTAATCTACTTAAAAGTTTCATTTTCTTGTTCATTGTGACATACTTAATGTAAATTTTTTATTTTCCAAAATTTTACTTCGATTGTTCCTCTAACAGTGGTTATCTTATCAGATCCTGCCACTGCCGCTGAACTGGCAAACAAGGAGGAGGTGGATGCACGGTCTGTTTTTGTTGGCAATGTAAGTATCTCTTTGCAACGCTTGTATATTATGGATTGTATTAATTTGTGTATATGCTCTCATCACTCTTTTTGTCAACAATAACAACAAAACTGGATTGGCTACATGAGCAAAGATGTCATCCTCATGAGTTGTTCATGTGGATCCTTCTCCTATTCCCACTCTTATCCAATGCAATATGATCCTGTTTACACATATTTCATATCCCTTTTCACCCTTTTATCAAAGTGCCTCTGTTGGTGTTGGATGTATCTAAAACTGCTAAACCTCTGCAGTTGGATTCTCATCTTCTTATCCTTGATAACTTGACCTTCTCATTAAACCTCTACCTCCAAATATTGGCCTATATTTAAATTTGCTTGTCAAAGTTTGGTTACTATGATAAAGGATTTGTATGATATGCATTGAATTATAGTTGAAATACTAATTAGGTCTATCTTAAAAGACAATTCCGTTAAAGTCTCTTAATGATCTTGACAATTAGTTAACAAATAGTGACAAAATAAAATACTCTTTATCTAAGTTCAACAACTATTGACCATTAAAGTCAAATGTGGTCTATCGTTATGAAGTTGATTATGAAATGCCAAATTCCAATCAATTTTATATTGAAAGAAGTTAGTGGATATCTTAGCGGTATCTTTTCAGGTTAATGGGATATTATACCTATCTTTGTCCAAGGCTGCTCATGTTTGATGAATTTACATTTGGAAACCATGGTAACTTCCTTGATTGCAATGTTATATATTAATTGAAACTGAGGTAATTTCCTCACTACTCCACTACTCTACCCAATCTGCCCTCAAAGAGAGAGAAGAGACAAAAGGAGAAAGATGTAGATAGGGTTGAATTCTAGCTTACTCTTGTTGCTTTGGATGTGATATTGACTTCTTCTTGTGTTATATGGGGAATGTTTACTTTCTACTTCTTAGTTGGTTGTGTCAGTTAAACTGTGTGATATACCCTTTTTATAAGTGGTATCAAGTTTTTGTAATTAGAAATAAAGATGGTTATACTTATTATGAGTCTGGCTTTAGTTATATTCCTTTGGGAACTCATCTCACAAAACATTGACAAGAGCTTACTTGCTGGACTTAAGGACCATTTTCTCTAAAAGTTATGATTAATAGATTTAGGTTTCCTCAAATCCTGAATTAGTGTGTTCTAATAGCGTATTTCCAGCAGATCATTTGTCTGCTGTATGCATTTGCTGATTGTGGTCCCATGAATCTTCCATATACCCTAATATACTCCTTTATTCATATACCATGTATCTTGTGGATTCTTGTATCTACTTAAAGCTATTTTGCCCCTCACTCTGTTCTGCTGGCTATCTCAATGCATAATACATTATATTTTTTTTTTCTTTATGTGCTGTCCACAGTACTGTTTTCCGTCATATAAAGCATCATATAATTCTTTGAGTATGTCGTGGTTTGACTTAAATGTCTCACTATGATCGCAGGATTTTTCTTCTTCATCAAGTTCCTTTTGTGATTGTGTCTTAATGCTGGACTTGGTATTGGAGCTTGGTTGGCATAGTTTTCGAAATAGATTTATGTTGGGCATTGAAAGTCATTTGTTTGTTCTGTGATTTAAAATGTTGGAAAAAGATGAAAAAAGGGAAAAGAAAGTAAAAAAGAAGAAAAAAGAAAAGAAAGGAGAAAACAAAGAAATTATAGAAAAAAGGGAAAGGGAAAGGGAAAAAAAAAAAAAAGAAGTGGAAAAAGTTGAATATATTTAAGTCCCCCAGAAAGATGGAAAAGAAAATCTTATTGTAAAAAGAACATAAGGGGATTACAAAAGTAACTTGAATAATTATTTGGTGATCAAATATTTTTTCCTTTTTTTTATTTTTTATTTTTCTTTCCAAGTAGAGTGGGGGAATTGAAGTTGGATAAATTGTAAACTGGTATGAATCTGGTGGTGGTCATAAATTCTTCTAGTCAAAGCCACTCGTGCAAGACTCCTGCTTTCAAATGCAGAGGTGCGCCACTTCAACTGGAGCTAGGTGTGGGGAAAGTGCCCAGTGGCGAGCGTTGTTCCCAAATCAAAACGTCACTTGCAGGTGTGATGATGGATGCTGTAAAACATGTGCCTTTGGCCATGCAGTTCTCAATTGTTATTGTCCTTTATTGTTGCAAGGGTTACTAATTGTAACCTACTGAATGTGAACAAAAAGTCGTGTTTTTATTTCTGTTGAAAGAAAAAGAAAGGGGCAAATGGTAAATCTCTGTTTAGTTTACTGCTTGGTTTATTATTGTTGATGTGTTTCAAGTTAAGAATTATAGTGTAGAGGATACAATGAAACTCGTTCACAAGTCAAGAGTTCACAAAAATATATCTCAGTGTTTATCTCGGAGATGAAAAAGTCTTTTTTAGTTTACATGAGGGTTATTTTTGTTAAGATAGTTGGAGCTTGAATTTTATATGCATACGTGAGAACTATGTATGCTATTTCTAATAGTGCAGTTTGTGGGTAAAGAGTCTGGTTAAGGGTAAATTATCAAGTTTAGATGATTTCAGTGTTTACCTCTGCTGCAAAATTTAAAAGGGGAGAGAATAATGGGAAGGCATGTGGTCATATAGGTAAAGTACACATCTATAATTAAAAGGCACGCGAGTAATTTCTGAGTCATTGATGATGGCTCTTGAACTTTGATTGTACTGCCTTGAAGAGTTCAGCTGTTACTAGTTAAGCTTTAAAGTCTTATTCTCTGGCTGCTTCTCAATTCTAACCTCATTCTTGAATCTTAGACTACTTGAGAACCCTGTGTCCTAAAGACTAATTATTAATTAGTCTACTAGGAAATATGCTTGGATTTGGTTACCTTGGCTCCTCTCCCTAGAGTCCCTAGGAATTTTGGATTTGGTTACCTTGGCTCCTCTCCCTAGAGTCCCTAACCTTTAATTCCTAGGTCACTGCCCAAGAGGCCAGTGAATATCCCATGATGAACCATATCACATAACTTTCTTGATGCATGTTAAATCCACAGCTCTGTTTTTCTCTCTGTTTGTTGTATAATTGTCTATATTTTACTAATTTTCTGCATGATCAATTTGGACTGTGTTAATATTTCTCAGGTTGATTATGCATGCACCCCTGAAGAAGTTCAGCAACATTTCCAATCTTGCGGGACAGTGAATAGAGTGACCATTCTTACAGACAAGTTTGGTCAGCCTAAGGGTTTTGCATATGTGGAATTTGTTGAACAGGATGGTGTTCAACAGGCGCTACAGTTAAATGAATCTGAACTACATGGTCGTCAATTGAAGGTATATTTGATGGGGAAGAGAGGAAGGGGGGTGGGGTAGGTATCATTGTTTATAGCTTGTTAATCACGTCAGTGTTTCTATTTAATTATTTGCAGGTGTTGCCCAAGAGAACAAATGTGCCAGGCATGAAACAATTTAGGGGAAGACGTTTTAATCCTTATATGCCCTTCCGTTCCCGCAGACCGTTTGCTCCGCCTTATTTCTTTAACCCATATGGCGGCTATGGGTATGTAACAAATTCTTTTTGGGGCAGTATTGTTCTATCATCTGTAGTATTGTTCTATCATCTGTATAATAGTGGCTTGTTATTGTGAATGGAGTTCATACTTTCCAACTCAGTAGAGCTTATTCATGCATGTATGTTACAATGTTGCATTTACTCGATCATTGCTTAAAGTGCTTGCTGTAAACAAGTTGCTATGTTATTTATGTGATAAATTATTGACTATACCGTTACTGATCGATTCCTCGCTGTGATATACTGCAGGAAGGCTCCTAGATACAGAAGACCAACCCGATACATGCCGTATTACTAGAAGAAACTCTATCTGCAGTTCTGCATGATAGGATTCATTGTGTACTACTAAGTTTTTACTAATAGAAGAAACATTTAGTTACTGCTGCTTATGTGCACCTTCAGTCCTTCAGATGTATGACATACTTTGGAATTGAATACTTGTGAATTGTGATAGACGTATGTCCTCTCGTACTTTGACTTATTTCAGTTCCAACATAGTTACCTTCAGTTAATCAGGAAATTTTGATCCTGGATTGGAGTGTCATGCGAACTGCATTACTAATCCCTCTATTAAAGTTTAATCAAACTAGTTGTTGGATATATTTACGCTTGTCGTATCTCCCCAGTAGAAAGGTTAATGCTTATATAGTCTTTGTTGGTTCTTTACTTCTTTTAAATAGTTCTACGTCAGTTGAATAATTCCAGCTTGTCAAACAATTCGAGAATTATTTGAGGTGAAAGATCTCTAATGCTTATAATTAAAAGGTATTTAGGAAAATTTCAAGTGTGTATGTATATACAAGCACAATAATAAAACCCAAACTTAATTTTCATTCCAAATTGAATTTATAGTTTTACACAAAATTTACTAGTATAAAAAGTAAAAAAAAAAAACCTCACATTTAGCAAAAATAAAGGGAAAAAAAATACATATATTAAAATATAAATAAATAAATAATAAAAAAACATGCTTAGAATTATGCTAAGAATTTTGCTGGATTTGTTTGGAATATTGAGGACCAGACATCAAAGCTCTAATCACGGGCTTCAGTTTTTCAGTAGCCTTAATAATTCCCAAAAACATTAGCCTGTAAATCACAACCATACCAAACAAGATTGCAAGGTCTACCCATTTTGAGTACCCCATTTCAACTTGCCACAAGTTTTTAAGCACCTCTTCTCCTGTAATGGTTGCTGTACCGCCAACTAGAGCATTCGGAAATGTCAGTCCTTCAAACTCATTCTTGTAGAACCCTTGATTCGCGTACTTGTGGAACGCAATGTAGTACATAGGGTACTTCCAGAAGGGGTTAGGGAGGTCATTAGGCAATCGGAAAAACCCTCCATTTAGCATCATCACACCTTGAATTCCTGCCCCGGTTATTATACCCATTAGAAAGTCCGGGACTAAGCTTGCAACTATCATCATTAGGCTTTCGACTAACATCATGCACATAAATAGTACTAATGCGAAGTATACAAAGTGGCCGAATCCTCTTTGAAGGTGTACTAGATAGTAAGCCATTGCTCCTGGGATTAGAGATATGATGATCAAGTAAGGGATGGATGATATTGTGTTCCCTACTGTGTAGGCTGCAACGCTGTAGTGTCCGTTGAGTCTTTCTCTTTCGAATATCTAGCAACAAACACAGATGAAGGTATTAGCATTTTTAATAAATTCTATAAATAAAAAAGTTTGTCATATATATTTAACAGTATAAGATATGAGTACAAGCAATGTTCTAACCTTCATGTCCTCGACGAATGAAGGAAACCCTCCAATTGCCATAAAAGTCAGGAAAGCTGCGACAAACATGAGCATTGCTCCTCTAGCCTGTAAAAATTACACAACATTCTGTGTTATTTACATACATATGGAAGATTTGGTTCATTTTAGATGAAAACATGTGAGTTTTCGGTATATAATCACCTGAATAGAGCCATAAGAGAGGCCAATATCATAAAATATAGTCCCTACACATAAACAAAGAGCAATGTAGATTCCAAGTCTAAGCCAATAGTATCCCAAGTCGCGGTACATGTTCACAAAAGACCTCTTGGTAAGAACAATCGATTGAGTTATAAAACTAGCATGTTTCCTTTTCGATTCAGTGGAACTTCCCTCCTGCAATAACAATATCAATCTTTTAGAGTTCTACCATATAAACATCATAATGAAGCATTATTAATCAGATGGATTAAACCGATTTTGAGCTTATTTTACCTGTTGGCATATCATTGAAATGTGCTGTTGAACTTCTTGGTAAGTTTGTGATGTTTTGTATGAATTCACAAGAGTGTTTATAACTTCTTCAGTGCTCTGTTTCCCATTTAATCCTTGTTCAATATCCTAAAACGAGAGCACCAAGTCACACAAGTTCAATAAATCATACATATGCCTTTTTTTCTAGCTAGTTTATAGCATACAGAACATATTAAATATTTCGAGGAGTACTTACAGCTGTTTCGAAGTCCTTGTTGATGGTTCTTAGGTAGTGATCAGAAGGGTTTCGCATGGTTGGGCAGGGGAATCCACTTAAAGCGAAAAACTGCTTAGACAAACATTTGTGTTAGAGAATGATCTTATAAAATTTTACTTGACTAAGAAAAAATCGAGCCAAAATTGTATACAAAAATGCACTTAAAAGCGTTACCTCATTAGCAGCTGAAGCCGAACCAAAGTAGACAACCTTTCCACTAGAGAGTAGACAAAGATTATGAAATAGCTCAAAGACTTCACTACTAGGTTGATGAATTGAAGCAATAACCGTCCTTTGATCCTGTTTCGCAAGCTTGATGATTCGGCTCATGACATGGTAAGAAGCCGCGCTATCAAGGCCACTAGTAGGCTCATCTAAGAACAAAAGCCTTGGCCTAGTCAAGATTTCAATGCAAATACTAACTCTTCTCTTTTGTCCACCACTAAGACCTTTTACACTCCAACCTCCTATTCTTGTGTTGACACAACCTTGCAATCCCATGTCTCTAATCGCGTCATTAGCTCGTTCGATTTTCTCAGATTTTGTCATTGAATCAGGTAATTGAAGCTGAGCTGAGTAGTATACTGCTTCTTTTACCGTTAGTGTTGTCATTAGTGTGTCATCTTGAGTCACATACGCCTAATAGTAATGTATTATATGCTAAGTTAGATAGTTCAATTAGAATTTTATGAAAATTATACAAATTACATGCTTAATGCTTTATTAATTAGGTGTTTGTATATCATCTTACGTACCGAAGTCCCAAAAGCAAGAGTTTGTTTACGACCATTAATCAAAATCTCTCCTGTTTGCCTTGTGTTTGAACCTAACCTGCCTGTACATTTGATGGAAAGAAGTCAACAAATGTTTATTCATAAGTCAACTCGCAATGTCTTAGTCGTTTAAAATGTTCAAATTAAAGAAAGATACAAATTATTTTACAATGGTTACAATAATTTTGTAGTTTTTACCCACTAGACCACTATAATGTTTTAATCACAGCTAACAACTATACATCACATTTTATATTAAATTTTTAGAAATCGCATTATTATAAATCAATTGGAGCATATATCAAGATGTCACCATTAATTATTGTAATGATTATGCTTAAGGTATTACAAGTTACTTGTTTAGTAAGTTATATTAACTCCGAAATTGTTTATTAGCTACTTCAACATTCTTTTTGCAACTCAATTAAAAACTAAAATAATGAACATCTAACTATCTAAACACAATTAGTAATGTTGACTTTCAAAGTGACATGCATGCATAGCGCGCGCCGGGTAGTGTCTAATCTAATTATAGACGACGATCCCCGCACTTACTGAGCACGTCGCCTCTTTCCAAGCAATTTTAAAAATTAACATAAAGTAATCAATTAATATTACAAACATGTATTATAATAAAAATTAGAAAAATGTATACATAACTATTAGGGGTTACATATAAGTATTAAATATACTCTAGAAAATTGTTTAAATTTAAAAAAGCATGACAAAAACACACTAATTACACTGATTTATGCATGTTTTTGTCATAAAAATTACTGTAATGATTAATGGATTCAATTTTTCATATGCAGCTGATTTGTAGTTGTAATAGATTAAGCTACCTTCGTTTCAGTGTACTATTCTTAACATTTACTACGTATTAGTGTATAAGATAGAGGATAAATGGATAAGTACATAATGTAATTAAGTTAAATCAATGCAAACTAAGACAAAAGACAAAACACAAAAGTATGCAAAATAATATAGTGAAAGACGTATATTGGTATATATGTACGTAGAATGTAATCCGATTAATCTCTAATGGTCTTACCAGCCAAAGCATCCAAAAGAGTGGACTTTCCACAACCAGAAGGGCCCATAACAGCTAAAACCTGACCAGGTTGAGCATAGCCAGAGACACTTTCTAAGATAGGCTGTCGCCCACCATCACCACCACCACCCGTGACTGTTATTGATAAATCTTTCCATGTCAAAGATACATGACCTTTGCTACCTTTATGTTCATTATCATTAATGATAACATTATCATGATCGCGTACTATTAACCTTGTATCTCCCATTTTCTTCTCCTGATCAATACAAACTTTATTCTTGCACGAACTAGTTGTGCAAGTAGGAAGAAATAAGGCTTAAGGGGAAATTAGAGAGATGGGTTTGTAATTTGGCTTAATTTCAGAATTAAGAAGGATGTTTGTTTTTATAGTAATTAAAATTTCTTCGACCAAAAAGGTTTCTCCTTCGGAGGCGCCGTCAACTTGCACGCGTCATTCCCCGATTTAAACTTGTGCACTTAACAAGAATTAATTAAGTTAATCAATACCATAAATCCATAATACTATTTAATTAGAGGAGATTTAATTCTTTTGACCCTCTTTTAATTAATTTATTGGTTTTGCATATTATTACTATTATGGGCAACCTGGTCCTACACTTATTTTAAAATTAAATTAAATTTGATCAATCAGAATGTTTAACATGCAAGTGGTATATAAAAAGTGTTTTAGCCTGTTTGACAAAATTATTTGTCATGTCATGAGCACTAAGTAATTGTTTAATGTTATTTGAAGTTACTAAGTTAGAGATTAATCGTTAAAATTGTTGATTCAAACAAATGTCAACTGTTTAGTAAAACTAGTTGTGGATTACTAATTAAAAAGACAAGGAAAGGACAAAGTAAAAAACCCTTAAACAAGTAAAAATATGATATTTAGGGCTGATTTATTATACTCCATAATACAGTATAAACCTCCCATTAATTTCTTACATACGGCGGCTATTCAAATTGCCATAAAAATCTTCTTGTACATGCATTACTATATGTGTGAAGATGAGATATTGCGGATCAATATTAATACAGTAACAAATAAAAAAATATAAAAAATATAAAGTAGATGGATGGATCGGACTCGGACTCGGAGGTTGTAACACTTGTAAGTAGGTCTCATGCATTAAGTAAGACGAGAAACTATCCGTTTCGTTTCAATACAATATTTTTAAAATGAAAAAAAAATATATATTTTTTATTTAATTGTACTCGTCTATAATAGATAAACTTTGCATTATTAAAACGTTTTTAAAAATGTTTATGTGTAACAAAAATCCGCAATATCATTGTATCACATCATCATTTAAGTAGCATTGTGTCACGTCACCACTAACATTGCAACAACTAATATATTACATGTCACTATTAGCATTATATTCTACAATTTTCAAACATTTAAGCACATGGATACTGAGATCACATTCTTACTATCTTTAACCAATATTAATTCATGTCATTCACAATAATTTTTTACGGAGTATTTTTTAAACAACGTACACATTAATTCCTATGTTATCAATCTTAATTACCTGTAAAATGGAATAAGGAGTTAGGTAAGTTGCAAAATATTTAATTAATAAAAGGATTCTTTCTAATTATACCAAATCATTGATACAGCCAAATCGTTGTTTGCTTGCAAGATATAGGAAGTGGTCACCAGATATTTATTCGATTATTGGTGGATAAAATCATAATCTTCCATTCTTCATGTGCTGGTTTTATTACATTATTATTAAACCAATAAAGTTTTAAGTTATCTAGTTGTGATCCCTACCCACTAGTTTGGCTAGTGTCAGGTAGACCTAGTTATTGGGTGGGTCGGGTGCGGGTCGGTTGCGGGTCAAGGTCAAAGAGGGTCACATTTTATAGGGTCAATATGGGGTCGGGCCAATACGGGTCGCAGGTTGATAATGGACGGGCCAACAAAATATCAATTAAAATAAATATTGGACAAAGCTATTATTAAATACATATGAATACAAATTAATCTATACAATTATTTTTACATTATGTATTTTCTTTATCAACTAAATTGGAAAAACATGTTGCCCTATATTGACCCTACCCATTAATTAAGGGTCATTTCCATTAATAGCCCTGTCCATTAAAAGCCCTATAAGCTTGACACTGACCCTATTATCATTGGACTACCCTGTCCAATAACCACCTCTAATGCCAGGCCATAAATAAAGATTTTTTTTTTTTTTTTTTTACAAAATACGGACTAATCAACTTTTGGAGAGGATAACCGAGCTTTAATTAACTGGCGATCACTTGTACCTTTAATTAATTTCTTAATGTACAATAATTGTACTTTGTACTCCGTATATCGTTATGAACTTCATTACCTACCCCATACATGATATTGATACGGAGTACATACCAACGTAAGCCAAAATTAATAAAATAATTGACCAAATGAACAAAGTAATGGAGTAACAATACATAAAAATAAAGTTACTGAATTAATAGTAAATCTTACCAGCCAAAGCATCCAAAAGAGTGGACTTGCCACATCCAGAAGGACCCATAACAGCCAGGACTTGTCCAGGCTCAGCATAACCCGAAACACCTTCTAAGATAGGCCGTCTTTGCCCATCAACGACACCGCCTTCGCCACCACCTTCTTTACCATAACTAACCGTCACCCACAAATCTTTCCATGTCAATGACACTTGATCATTGACATCATCACGATGCTCCGCCCTCGAGGGCGGAGCATCGTGTAAAGATATAGTAGTTTGAGGAGGATGAGGTAAAGACAACGATGACGAATTCGTATTAGTGTTAGTAATAGCACTAATACTACCGGTTAAGCTAAAGGGGAAGTACCTCCTTAAGCTACTAGAATTCCTCCTTAAAATCTCAATATCATTATTATTTCCCGCTTTCTTTTCTTCAGGAACATTTTTAGCTAAGGGCCTTGTTGGGCTTGGGCTTGGGGTCCATCTTGGTACGTTATTTGTGTTTATTTCTTCCATTTTTTTTAACACAAGTTAAGTTTTTGTTGTGAGGGATTTGAAGGGACGGGATGAGATCACGAGAGAGGGGAAAAAAATTGAGTCTTGCATTGAAGCGCAGTCTAGATTTAAGATATATATAGACTTGTATATTTTCAACTCATACTACACTTGTTAATTAAGTACTCCGTATTAAATAATAAATTAAATTTGAGTATACATAGGATGTATAATTGAGTAAGACGTACGGTACCATTGAAGCTTGTTATATAATTAATGCTCCATAACACATGCTAATGTCACACATTAATAAAATATACTTCGATTTGTATATTTTGAAAAGCACAAAAATAGTATATGGGACTAACATTATAAAACGCCCAAAAGAGTTAAACACTTAACTTTACAAGTTTTTTTTTTTTTTTTTTTTTTTTTTTTTTTTTTTTTTTCAAATTTGTCATATATATATATATATATATATATATATATATATATATATATATATGAATTCCGATGCACGCTTCAATTTTGTAATATTGATGACTAATATTGGGTGCGCCCTAACTTAAATTTATCATGGTATCAAAGTCATACCTACAATTTAGACCTGTAACACAATGGGCCAATTTCGTAGAATGAATCACAAATGTGAGCCTATTGCGGCTAATTAAGGCATCTCATTTCGATTCAATGAAATATGTGTTGGGATTATTTCGCTATCTTGAGAGTGAGGGGTAGCTTAAGTGGTTAAAGCTTCCTTCCCGATTCCAATAAATCTTGGGATCGATTCTCACCCCCGCCCTTGTGGCTCTCTAGCTAAACACCAAAAATAAAATTATTTCGCTATCTTGAATGGAAACTTTAATTGGTATCATTGTCATATCTACAATTTAGACTTGTAATATGTACGCACTATAGGCAAGTTTAATAGTAAAATGAATTTCACATGTGAGCTTAAGGCATCAAACTTTGATTATAATTTTTGTCAATATATGATTAAAAACACAACTATATGAGAAATATTTTTTGTTGATTATATCTCAATCAATGTACTACCTATGTTTAACTTAGTTCTACCCATTGTGTACATATAAGAAAAAATATTACTCATATTAAATTTCAGGAAAAATATCGTTGCAAATAATATGAAAAAAAAGGTAGTATTTTTCAATTGCCAAAGGAAAACGAAAGGAATCATTACATTGAAACATCAATCAATTAATATCAGTAAAGTGTATAAATGGGTTTGAAAAAAGACGTTCAAAGGGTAAAATGTAATCATTTTGGATTGAGATTATTGTTTTACTTTTAAACTTAATAATCAGTCTACTTTGCACGGCCTTGCATTGCATGCGTGTAACGTACTTGAGTGAAAATCGATTACCAAATTGAGTAAACAACGATTACCAAATTGAGTAAACAGTCAACTACGCGCAATAAACAATCAAACTTAATGAGTTTGGTTTCTCCGTTTGACTCCCTTCTTAAATCTTAAGAGTGATGATTAATTTTACAAGTAGACGTATGTAAGAATATGAACAAAAACAAAACATTTTCTTTTTCATATATCATAAAATAATGTCTAGGGGAACTCTTTGCATAATATATGTAATAAAGAAAAGGGATGTCACTTAGCTTATTGATTCATATTACCCTCATTTTAAATTATTTGTAACAATTTAACATAATATATGAGTTAAAAACGTCTAATCGGTGTAAATGTTCTAAAACAGAGGTAATAGATTTTCACTCGTTGTTTTCAAGGAACGATAATAATGATGATAATTTTATATTATTTTTTTACAGGGTCATATAAAAAATTAAAAAAAGAAAAGAAAAACATAGGTAATAGATTTTCACCCGTTGTTTCCAAGGAACAATTAATAATGATGATAATATTATATTTTTATTCTTTAATTTTTTTTAAAAAAACAATATATGTTCTCTTTTCTTTTTATTAGCAACACTTATCAATTTAAGTTTGTCAATAAGTCTTATAATAACACAAGTGTAATTTTTAGAAAAATTTGTCTGGAAGGGACATATATGTTCACTATTTTGCCTGAAAGAACCTTATTATAAGTTTATTTTGTTATTTGAGAAGGAGAAATTGGAGGGAAACTGAAAAAAAAAAAGGAGTCATTTATTAAGGTCACATGAGAAGTTAACGTAAAAAAAAAAGTCAATTATTGTCGGATTCCGACCTCAAGGTCCCTCCAAACAATATAGTGAACATATATGTCCTTTCTAGACAAATTTTCCTAATTTAGGTAATTCTTATATAATAAGATAAGGGATGTTAGATCACGTATTTGCAAATACGGAGTACTAAACATTGTAGACCAAACCATATACATCATTTTCGGATCACTATATAAGTTATCATTGTTCTACAAAAAAAACATCTCTTTGAATCATTCTTCTTCGTTCTCTGTTTCTTGATGGATTAAAATATTAAATTGAGGATATAACTCATGTGCTTTTTAAGGATGAAATTTTAAATTGAAAATGGATATCAAATCTAACACCAGTACATAGTTCTTATTCAAAACTGTCAAGTAGGTTATATTAAGTCAACGATGATTGTGAGAAAAGATGAAAAAGTTAATCATACTTGTGTGCGTTGTGCCTATGGAAGGCGGTGTTGGTGCGTGGTTTTAGCCATAATTTTGGTCAAAAATTTTAGTTGGTTATTGTTGAAATCCATTATAACCCACTTGTAAATGTTCCACATTGGAGAAAGAGGAGAGATGATTCCACTTTATATGGTAGAAGAGTTACTTCTATTATTGTCAATCGGCTTTAGAATGAAAACTCACAATTGGTTTTTATAGTCAAATTTTGTAAATTTTAATTGATCAACAATTTTCATTGCTATATACAAACAATATAGTAGGCATTATAGAAAGTGGGTTAGAAACTTAGAATCACACTTTAATAGTCCCAAAATAATTGAGACGAGAAAGAAATGATAACCTAAAAAGGAAAGCAAATATTAATTGCAAATAATGTGTAGATCCTTTTTTGACAAAAGTTGCAAAAAATATAAAACAGATGTAATATACAAATACCTATGTAACAACATATTTTATGATACGGAGTAATATTTTGTTTCCAATACAGTTATTCAAAACTATAGTCAAAGTTAGTATATAAATGGTCAAATTCAATCAAATATATACAAGTATTATTTTAAAATAAAGAGAGTAATGCTTTTTTGAAATTGAAATGGAGAAGATTCGGAAGATCATATTTGTATCGGTTAATAGTAGTTGTAGGACCATATGGATGAATAATTGATATCAGCAGATTCACGACATTCATCAACTTGCATACAAGGGTCATGTGAAATTGTAGGAGGACATGATCATCAGTATCACCTTTTCCTTGAATAATACTGTTGTTCATTTTAACAATAAGGAAGTTGGTGGATTGAAAGATTAATTAGGAAAATTACATATACAGTCGAAAGGTTGTTTAAGGATGTTTGATTCTCAAGTTTAAGATTATGTTAGATATATGATATATTGGAGAATAGAATGACTTGTTTATTATTCATTAATTAATAGGTAAAGTATTTATACAAAATATACTTATAAGATAGGAAACAATCTTTCTAAAAGATATACTATACTGTATATCCTAATTGAATATATCTAAAGATATTATTTTCATAATAAGATACATACGGAAAATATATCACATATATATTTTTCAATATATCATATCTCTAACAGATTATGAATGGGATATACAAAAAAAAAAATGAACGAAAGAAAGGGGGGTAAACACTTGTCTTCTACCTCTTCAATCCCCAATGGCCGAATTAACTCTGAGCGCTCAATAAATCACTATGCTATCATGTATGTTGCTATTTAGGATAGATTAATTGTTTTCTTTTTTGTCATACATATTATTGACAAAATAAATTCTCAATCTTAATTAATATCAAGTACAAAATATTATTGACAAATTGACCTTTCCCAAGCTCAACATCGAAACATAACAACTTTTACCGAGTAGTACAACTAAATAAATCAAACAATTATCTAGCTATAATGTAATTTTTAGCTTGCTTGTCTTGATAATTTAAGTTATTATTGTGGAAATTCACTCGAAACTCATTCTAATTGAAGTTTTAATTTCATGTGTATATTATGTTACAATTCTCTTTTTTTGCATAACATACTAAAGTAGTGTTGACAATCATACATATTTTTTAATGCGTATAAGCTTGTGCTTTCTTTAACGCGGTTCATTTTTGTTTCCTTTGACAATCAAATATCCGATATATATATATATATATATATATATATATATATATATATATATATATATATATATATATATATATATATATATATATATATATATTACAAGCTGGTAAGAGAAAATAAGCTTACTTACTATTAAAAAAATCAAGTTGCCAAGTTGGTAAGAATGCATTAAATAATAATAATAATAATAATAATAATAATAATAATAATAATAATAATAATAATAATAATAATAATAATAATAATAATAATAATAATAATAATAATAATAATAATAATAATAATAATAATAATAATTGAGCTGTACTACTTATTAATCACAAGAGGAGCCTACATATAATTAATTCTTTGTATGAGCTGACCAGGCATGATCGCCCAACACTATTGGCTGGCTGGCTGCTGAATAAATGACATTATTAATTATCAAATTAATAAATGCAAATTATTTGACTTTTTAAATTCGGGCATAACTACGCTATTTCGTATAAACTTTATTTTATTTCTTATATATACGGTTTTTCTACGCTATAATTTTGATTTCCTAATAACATTTTGTTGATTCTTGAACTATTCTTTTCCGTGCAATATTAATCCATTCTCAACAATTTTTTTTAGTAACAGTGTAACACTAATTACACTATAAATATACGTACGTTGTAGTAATAGCTTATCAAGTAAAACGAGAAAGTAATTAAGGGATCAGAGCGAGCTAAGAAAGTAATTAAGAAGATGATTAATATGGAGGGTTGCCCTAAACAAAAGAGTGATAAGCTGAGTTGGGTTAGATCACAGATAATTGGAGGCGGCAGTGGTGGTGGTGCAGAATTCGAGTCCCCGTTTGGCAAGCGTGGAATCACTTACGCCGATACAACGGCAACTGCCCGTTCTCTTCACTTCATTGAAGATTATATCATTACTAATGTTCTTCCTTTTTATGGTAATTTTATTTCTTATATTATTGTCTAATTTGCATGATTACAACTTTAGTTTCTCTATTGAGGTTGCTGATAATTAGTTTTAGACATTATGCTAGCTAGGAAGATGTATTCTGTGTTCTTTCTTCATTCCAATCTCCATTTCACACTAGATATCCTCATAATTATGTTTTAATTTATAGTATTATTATATGTACACATCATTTTAATTCTATTTTATTTTGTGGAGTACGTGCCATTTATCACCAAATTTATACAAGTATTTTACAAGAAATGTCAAACATGACTCACTCCGTTTTAAATTTATATTCGCATCGTTCTAGCAAGAGCACATAATTTAATCACACATTCACAGTTACGTATTATAGTTTATAATTAGATTGGATAATTTCGGTACAGGGTCTATGGAAAATTTATGAATCATGACATCTCAATTAGTTTACTATTCTTCAATAATAGAAGTATCCATTTACACAAAAATAAAATAAAATAAATAAATAAATAAAAATTCATAGACATCTTCATATGCGGTTTGATACAGACATACATATGTGTTATTAATTCATAACATGCATGCGTTCATCGGTTAATATATATGTTACTACTACAATTTGCTATTGACATGGATCGAGTACACTTTTTAATTTATGAACTTACTGAAAATAATGTTAAAGGATCATCTCAGATCAACCATATGTTTTATACTCTATCAAGAAAACGTAGTTTGTTGATTTGGTGTGCGCTAATAATGTTTAGGAAACACTCACACGACGGATAGCTACGTGGGGAAACGAACTACAAAGACAATGGAAGAAGCAGCAAGATACATCAAAAGATGTTTAGGTGGTGGAGAAGAGGATGCCATTTTATTCTGTGGTTCGGGCACTACAGCCGCTATTAAAAGGCTTCAAGAAGTTATGGGAGTTGCTATTGCATCAACTCTAAGAAGCAGAGTTTTAGAGACTCTAAGGAAGGGAGAGCGATGGGTTGTTTTCTTGGGGCCTTACGAGCATCACTCGAATCTCCTATCATGGCGAAACAGCCTTGTAGAAGTTGTTGAGATCGCGCTAACTAAGGATGGTGGCTCAATTGATATGGAAGCACTAAGAGTTCAGCTTGAGCATTACGAGTCTACTAACCGGCCTATGTTGGGTTCGTTCTCTGCTTGTAGCAATGTCACTGGTATTGTCTCGGATACTCGAGCAATTGCTAGGTTGCTTCATCAATATGGTGCTTTTGCTTGCTTTGATTTTGCAGCTAGGTATGTCTAAATAATTCTCTTTGTTTTTGTTACATCTTGTATCTTAGGACGTATGATGGGCCTTTATGTGCATTGACGCGCATAAAAGCCCAATAATAATATATTGATCTTGTCACCTATTAATAACCAATTCTATGCATGACATATCAATGTAAATTTGAGTGGTATTAACAGAGTATGTGTTGCTTTGGATGTTGTTATTAACAGTGGTCCTTATGTCGAGATCAACATGAAAGCGGGCGAAATAGATGGATATGATGCTGTTTATGTTAGTCCACACAAGTTTATTGGTGGGGCAGGAAGCCCTGGAATCCTCCTTATGAGCAAGAAGCTTTATCTGCTCACTTCTTCCACACCTTCAACCTGTGGTGGAGGAACTGTTTCCTATGTCAATGGCTTCAGTGAACAGGTATTATTATTAACAACGATAATTATTACGACGAAACATTAATCAATTTGAAGAATTACAGACTAATTAGAAACAATTATGATGAATAAAACAGGACACTTTGTACTCAAACAATGTAGAAGAAAGGGAAAATGCAGGGACTCCTCCCATAACCCAGACGATTCGAGCAGCATTAGCATTCTGGGTTAAAGAATACATTGGTGTCAAAACAATTGAAGAGCAAGAGCATAACTATATGGAAAGAGCTGTGGCAAAACTAGGCAACATCAAGAACATTGTAATTCTCGGAAACACTAGCGTCAAGCGACTGGCTATCTTATCCTTCCTTGTGTATCCATCCACTCAAAATAGAGGTGAAACTCGAAAGCAGGACCCAGGACAACGTAAGCCACTGCACGGTCGTTTTGTCGCGAAACTGCTTAATGACTTGTTTGGTATTCAAGCTAGAGGAGGGTGTGCTTGTGCAGGACCATATGGTCACTACTTGCTCGATGTTGATAAAGACTACTCTTTGGCTTTAAGAGCGTCAATCCAACAGGTAAAGCCTCAATTCAGAACATTCTTTCTTAGTATATGCATCCTTCCATCATTAGTCTCTATGCAACTACGTCACAAAGGTAAGCGACAACTAGGAACAACCTTTAAGAATCTTGTCCATTACAATGGCTAACAAACAAATGTATGTTTGATACATTATTGAGCTCCAAAATCATTGTCAATCATATATTATATTCCAAATATAACACTTAAAACAAGAAATATTGATGAAATCTATTGCTTGACAGGGTTATGAGGGAGTTAAACCAGCATGGACAAGAGTTAGCTTCCCATATTACATGTCAAAAGAAGAATTTAAGTTTGTATTGGATGCAGTGGAATTTGTGGCAACTTATGGACATCAATTTCTTACATTATACCTCTTTAACTGGAGAAATGGGGATTGGACCTACAACAATAAGGCGTTCGACAAAATTCTTCATAATGCAAGAAACAACATTGTAGATGAGGTGAAATTCGCTAGATTTATGCAAGATTTGAAGCTAAGAGCTAAAGTGGTGAAAGAAACTGGTACAAACAAAAGTACTAATGATAAAAATCCAACAGCCAAGTACGACTCGTATCTGGAGACTGCCATCTTCATAGCTTCTCTGTTACCAGTTAACCCTAAGCAAGGTTGGATTCCAGAAGAATTGGACATTGATATTATGATATACCCTTCAGCATCTAGATACTTTATTTAGTCTTGTTTATATAGAGGAAATCTATCAATTTTTTATCTGTGTATTTATACAATTTATCTAATTTAATGTAATCTGAAAAGGAAGAAAATAAAAGGATAATAGATAGCTAGAAAACATGTAAACCATGTTTTGCAACTTGTACAGTATAAGCAATAAGAACGTCAGTATTATTCAAGTTTTTCAGGCTCATGGACTCCTAGTTTTTTTTTTTTTTTTTTTTTTTTTTTTTTTTGACAAAGAGCATGGACTCATAGTTAGTGTATGAAAACTGAAGTAATATACTAGAGAGGAGCAAACAGTTTAAACCAGAGGCTGATCAATGGGCGACGGAGTCCATAAAGAGCAAATTCATAATAGCGCGCACATACGAGACAAAAATTGCAACTCACTAATTGCAAGACACTAGTTGCATTTCAACCTTAAGGCATTGATAGACATAAGACTCCTGGGGGTATACAAAAATAAATATTGAAATTTCGGATTCCCCAGAAAAAAGAGAGGGCCATAGAGAGAATCCTGCATACTGTGACCACCCAAAATAAAGAGTTACACATAGCCGTTGAAGGACTGCTGAAGAGTAGAGGACAGCCAAACAAAGACAAAAACTTAAATGTGTAGCTGTTACACTATTATTCCACAAAGAAAAGAAGACAAGGTTTAGTTCTTATCCCTACTACAAAATTGAGGATGGTAATTGAATGAGAACATGAAGAGGTAAGAAGATAAGAATCGTACTATTGAATGCCTGCTAGAGGTGCTAACAATAGCCACCAGAGGCACAAACACATAGGGCTAGCAACCAAGTACGACAGAAAGTGAGAATTTGGCAGCTAAAGAGATTTGCGAGCAAAAACTAAGACTTATCAGCCATACATAAAGTTTAAGAGTAAGTGACAACAATCCATGGATGTATGGAATGGGTAAACCCCATCTACCTACACTGGATTGTTACCATATTACTCGGAAGTAAATACCCTGAATACCCTTTAATACCCTAATAGGATCCCAAATTCTCAACAACAATACACCTGCACAAAATGCCTCAAGACAAGAAAATTAAAACATTATAGAAAGTACAGCAATCTGAGAATCTGTGACCAAATTGATTACACCTGCCACCAGCTGAAAAAAAGATAAATAATAAAGGGAATAGTCCTGGGACATCAACATAACCCTTGCTGTAATATTTTTAAGGTGTTACAGTGATAATTATAGATACTACATTGCATTGTTTATTTTCCTTTTTGAAATATAAAAGCAAAAAAATGTATGGCACTTCTATTACACAAGTCAGGCATACCAATACTTTGCTTGAATTGTAACAAGCTTTAAGTACCAAATAACCAGCCAGAAAACCATGCAGCAAAAATAAGGCACTGTTATAATCTAGAGCTCTGTTCCGGCCTCAATAAGAGTTTTACCAACGGCACTTGTCATGTTCATTGGTGATATATAACTAAAGGACACCAATTTTCAGTTCATCTCAACTTTGAGCTTCAAACATGCAGATTCAACTTGCAAGTGGACTCAGTATTCTCAAACAGGAAAAAGATTGAAGGCTTGATAAACAATGAACGAGCTCAGAAATACGTATATTATGTCCATCACGATTCTAAATCTCAACAAGTACAGCATCTAGGGGTGAAACAAATTTGGTTTAAAATCAAACCGAACCGAAAACCGAACCGAATTAGGAATATGGTTCGGTTTTTTTCTTAAGTGGTTCGGTTTCGGTTTGTAAAATCAAGAAACCGAAATTGTATGGTTCGGTTTCGGTTTTGGGAAATGAAAAACCGAAACCGAACCGAATTTCGGCCCATACTATATAAGGCAAAAAAAAAAAAACCCTAATCACTCTTCTCAGCCTCTCACTCTCTCCTCTTCTCTTTCCGCCCTTTCTCTCTCCTCTAATCCTCTTCTCTTTTCTCCATTTGTGAGCTTTCTCCCTCTCGGTTCTCTCTTTCTCCTTTCCTCTTCTTATCTTCTCCAATCTCTAGTTCTCTACTCTGTCCTTTCTCTCTCCTCTTCGATCTCTTCTCCACTTTCACTCTCTTCTCCTCTTCGACAGTACGACCAAGGAGGCAAGGACGACCACCTGGGCACCAGTGTTCACATTCTAAAGGTTTTCATGTCAAATTCGATCTAGTGTTTTCATGGTCGAATTTGACCTTTAAAACCCAAATTCGAGGTTTTTCGGTGGAATGTGAGGTATGTCCTCTTTTTCTTTCTTTTAATTTGGTTTGAGTTTTTTATTTTTATGGTGGTGTATGATTGAATTGTGGTGGTGGTAGGTAGTTTTGGGTGGGTTTCGGGTGGTCAGGATGGATGGTGGGTTTCTTCAGTTTTTGGTGGGTGGAGGGGTGGTTTTTGATGGATTCGGGTTGATGCATGATGAGTGGGTTTCGGGTGGTTTTTGATGGGTTAGGGTGGATGGCGGGTGGGTTTCGGGTGGTTTTGGAGGATGGGTGGTGAGTTTCGGTGGTTTTAGTAGGTTAGGGTGGGTGGTGGGTGGGCTTTAGGTGGTCAGGGTGATGGGTGGTGGGTGGGTGTTGGTGGTGATAAGGTGGGATGGTAATAATTAATACCCTGGATTGGTTTGGTTTTGTTTGGTTCGGTTTTAATTGGTTTGGTTCGGTTCGGTTTTTTTTGCAAAATTTGATGTTCATGATGCTTGATAGGAAAATTCGGTGCGGTTTGGTTTTTTTTTAAGAAAACCGAAATTTAGGTGGTTTGGTTCGGTTCGGTTTCAAAGAGAAAGTGGTGCGGTGTGGTTTGCAAAATCAAGAAACCGAAATATGGTGGTTCGGTTTCGGTTTGGGCCAAAAACCAAACCGAAAACCGAACTTTCACCCCTAACAGCATCTACTAACAGTATTTGATTTCATGACCAAAAGATTTAATCTAACAAAAAATTCAAAAAAAAATGAAAATAACAACAATCTTGCACAAAAATAACAATAGAAAACAGTTCATCTTTTGACATCGAAGACATCACTGACCAGCAAAAATCAAATCCTGTGATTCAGCATTGAAACATACCAAAGAAAGTGGATAAGGAAAATGTGATTCTGAAAAGACAATGCTCAAATTTCACTGAACCCAGCTCCCGAATTCAATGTACTGTTTTCCCTTAAGATGTCAAATGACTGAACTATCAAGGTTAGCATGAAAATGACATAAATATTATACACAAACTCGAGAACCATACTTCAGGGATAAAAGAATAACACCCAAATGGTTAACATTTTGTGCAACCAATCATTTGAGAACATACCAAAACACTGGTGGGCAGTAAGACAAGCAAAAGTAACAAGCACCCAGAAGATTTGTAAACAAAAAATGCCCGAGGGCAAACATGAATAAACAAATTTACCACGGGCAGTGTAAGTAACCGAAGGTGTTGGGTAATCCGAAGATATGAAAATGATCCTGCCCTCATGTATTCTTCACAATCTTCAATATGTCAGGATGAAATTTCATCCCAAATCTTCACTACGATCTGTTGGCGCTTGAATGGAAACAAAGAGGTAGCTTGAGGGACACAATGTCATGTTTCTGACTCTTCTTCAACAGTTGGAAGTCCAATCTCTCTAGTAAAGGCAGGATTAAGAAACTTCGCAACAAAAGCCCACAGCTTGTACACATCGTCAAAGTTAGTCAGAAAGCTAAGTGATGCTGTCACAACCTCCACCCTGAAGAAGCCGCTTTTTCCATCAAAACGACCATTTGCCATTGGCTTGCACAATGTTGTATCTGTGATGTTCAATTCCCCATTTGAATTCCCGGGACCATCCATAATTCTCATATGGCTAAGGATGCCAACACCAAGCCCAATGCCATGTGCTTCAGCAAGCTTTTGGACAACCTCTGGATTAATTAACCCCCGGTTGCAGTTTCTCACATTGAAAGCAACAGCAGCACCCCTTTCATATTTAATTTTAGGGCCGTATATTTGTACCAACGGCACATCATTTTTATCATCTGGACCAGGGAATCTCAATTGCAAAAGTGAGGTCACAAGCCAATTTATCAAAAATCGTAATCTTGATGTTGTTCTATTGAGGCCCAACATGTTTATGTGATCAAGATGCCGACAAATTATCTCTGGTTCTCTCCTATCAGATTCTGGGTCATCACCGTAGTCCCCATCACTTGCATAGTCATAGTCTTCAAGGTCTCTAGCAGATGTCTCACCTGCCTCCAAGGTATGACTAGAGTGCCCTCTGTGATTGTCCTCTGTACTGAAAGATACCCTCCTACCTTTGCTAGCAATATCATCTTCTTCAAAGCATACAACCCTGCCACCAGCAAATTTATTGCCATCCCTCCTTCCCAATAGCCTAAATTCACCTTCTGTTTCTCTTCTGATAGCACTTTCTTTCGACTCTGCACACAGTTCAGATGTAATACCACGAGATGTTGAAGTATGACCATTGTAATGGTCTCCATTTAATGAAGAATGCAGGGATGCTTTGTTGTTTGCCATCTCATGTTCATACTCCTCTATCTCATGAACAGTGTGTATCTCCTCATTGATCTCATGGACATTATCAACACCTCGGGAAACTGATTGAACTGCAGCATCGAATGATAGCATATGCCGCCCGTCATAGGTTGGGCTCCTAGACTTGTTCGCTGCTGGCTTTGGGGAGACCCTCTTTGCATCCTTCCTCCCAGTAAACCATAAAGGCGGTGAAGGAGTGGATCTCTGTCTTTCCAGGTGGCCCGCATGTTCGGAATTCATGGGGCTTTGACCTAAGTCAATCCAGAATGAGTTGTCAGATGATTCATCCTCGCTAAAGATAGGGCTCTTCATCACCTCCCCTACAGAAATACTCTCGGTCTCTTCAAATATCGTGCTGGCACCGTCTCTGTCAGAGCTGTTTTCATGCTCCATCTCAGTGTCAAATACATCCTTTACCTGAGCATGAGTAAAAGCACCAGAAAAGGCAGGCATCTGGGAACCTTTCTGGGTGTCACCTTTAAAATCACCATTCTCATCAACTTCATCATCCTCAACCCCAATAAGACCATCAAGACCATCCATCGAATCGCCCAAATACTGTGGAAAGACTGGAGTAATCTTCACCATCCCAGTTCCAGTCACTCCAGATTGGTTTTGTAGGCATCCTAGCACAGATTTTTTGATGAGGAGACATCCAAACCCACTGGGAT